AAAAGATGGAAGCTGAACAGGAAAAGGAAACTAGAATGCAGCAGTTCCACACTGTTGGTCACAATCACAGTCATGACTCTGCTATTGATGCTGACCTCCAAGAGTGGGAGACAGAAATACTGGATATTGATTTGGTGAGCTGAAACATGAAAATATAAAACTTGCTTTAAATTAATTTTATCAGTAGTAGTATAACATGATTGTTCAAATTTGTAAATGTTAAGTACAGCTTCAGTCAAATTTAATTGAAAACAATTAAAGAATGAGAAAGTTATTGGCAGTTGTGCTGTTTTAGATTTGTTACAGTACTGCTATGTGTACAGATCACTGTTAATAAAAGGAGGGCAAATGAAATTTTATATTAGTGTAATGGTATATAACAGCATTTATCAACCTATGGTACGCGTACCACTGGTGGTACACTAGCCAATGTTGAGTGGTACGTGAAGTAAGTAGGCAAATAAAAAAATAATATTAACCTTAATAAGTTTTCCCTGAACACATTTGGTTAGTGGTACATTTAGTGTGTTAAATTAGAATTAGTGGTATGCCAACGAAAAAGGGTGAGAACCCCTGGTATACAATATAGAGATTTTTGCATTGTCTTTGTTTTTCACTTGTGCAGCCTTTCTCATTTTTTCCTTTTAACAACTGAGAGTTAAGTAACTGTGAATTGAAATATGAAATTCTAGAGTGGACTTGCTTCTGATGATGACCTTGGTTTTGATTTGGTTGGTGGAAGAGATGACCCACATTATCCCAACGACAGTGGCATTTATGTATCATCGATCACCAAAGGCAGTGTGGCAGATGGAAAGCTAAAGTAAGTTGATAAATAATTCAGCAAGGCTACAAGCCATGTTGAGGTAGAGGAAAAACATGTGTAGCATGTAATCTGGTATAAACAAAACATTGAATAGTACTCATTTTTTATTGTAGGCTCAATGATTGTATCAGCCGAGTGAATAATTTGGATTGTAGCAATGTTAGCAAGAGGATGGTGTTGGAGACTGTACGTTCAGGTGGTGGTGTGGCCAGCATGGTTGTTCGGAGGCGTCGAATGGGAGGACGTTGCCTTTATACCACACAGGTAAGCTGAGTCAGTTATGTATTTAAGTTGTAACTATTATCGTATTTATTTAAAATATGTTACATATATAGAAATGCAGTGGAACCCCTGTTTTATAAATTTTTAAGGGGAAAGAATTGGAAAAGCAATTGGAATGGTACCTTATGGGAAGGAAAAATAGTAGTGTGTTGTGTAAAGCATTTCCATTGATGGCTTAACAGACCAGCTAGTGATGGCTATGCACGTTTGCTTTCTTCAGGAAATAAATTTTCTGAATTTATGTTTAGGTTTTCACATTGTTGAAACAGCTTTTTCTTTTCACGTTTACATTGGTAAAATTCTGTTTATGTTTGAACATACACTATTGTGTAACTTCGGCTTTTAGGGATTAGCCGTGTTGTATGTTGAACTTTCAGTGCAAACAAAATGAATGTCTGTGGAAGACAAAGAGAGTGGTTAAGTAGGTCTGGCAGTGGGAGTAGGTTGGGAAGTGAGTGATGTATGGGGGTGCACTAGACATGACAAAACTAAATTGGGGTTTCACTGTAGCTGGTTTGTTCTGTGGAATTCTCTGTATGTCTGAAGCTGATGTGCTTAGATAATGCATATATTTTTCAGTTACATCTGAATGTTAGTGAACATGGTCTGACTCTTGAAACTGGAATCTACATTTGCAAAATCAATCCAGGCTCTTTAGCTGCAAAGGAGGGAAACCTGGCAGTGGGGGATAGAGTTCTTAGTGTAAGTAGGAAATCCTTGTTACTTTGTGGTATGGTTTTTTTAGTGGTCAGTCAGTTACTCTGAAACTTTAACCAGCACTTATTACTGAATGTAATTTTTTTGTTCTTTAGATTAATAACAAACCCATGGATGGACTGAAAAGTGCCAGAGAAGCAATGGCAATCATGGATGAATCATGTGATGTCTTAACCATAACAACTCTTAAAGGATCTCTGTCTCCAATCAATTCACATTCTAGTGGTCAGATTATTACATCTGAAGAAGAAAGGGGGTGTTTCAGTAGCTCAAATTCCACATCAAAACCAATAAAAAAAAGCAGTCAGAGAATGGTGAACAGTTGCTCACAGACTGATGAAGAGAGATTCCTAGAAGTTAACAACCATAGTGCAGCAGAGGAATTTATGGACAAAAGATACTTAAGTAGTGCTTTTGGGGTAAATGATCGTGCAATATACAAAGTCAGCAAGTCAACAATGGAGAAGCAAAGCAACTCAGGGGCATGGGAAATGATACAAGAGAAAATTGACATTGTTAGAGGTAGGCGACATTCTAAGGAAAGGAATCGTGAGAACACAGATGAAAAGAAACATCATCGGAACTCTTCACCTAACACTTTTGAACAGGAAAGAGATGATGCAATTGCTGAACTGGACTCGGTGATTGAAAGCTATCATCGTAAAACTAGTGGCAGTGGGCTCAAACGTAGCAGGAAACGGGGAAAAGAACTTGAAAAAAATGGTGGTACTTGGCCAAAAGCTCGCAATGGCCCTGTGATAGAGAATGGTACAGGCACCATCTTGCATCCTAGGAAGCACAAAGAGAGGTTGCCTCTTTCTGAATTGTTAAATAACCCTCCCAAGTACCCTCCTGACACGGTACACTATTGTTCCAGTGGAGTTTCTGAACAGCCTTCCCGACCTGTTAGTATAGCTCATGATCGGGCAGTGTCCTGCTCAGCAGCATACAAGGTTCAGGATTCAAATTCTGTTATGCTTTTCAACAAAGCAGGTGGATTGCTTTGTACTCAGAAGTCATTCACTCCAACTCCATTCAAGGAGCTAATCTGTGAGAACAAGTCTAGCACCGAGTTTAATCGGGACAGGGAACGAGACAGACTGAGTGTTCTTGCACCTTCTGATGCTAGTATTGATTTCTCTGTCAAGTCTGGGAACATTGGCAAGGAAGTGCTGGAGTACTATGCAAAGAAGAAAAGCAGCAAATATCCTCCTAGTGACAGCGAGAGCAACATCAGTCCGGTGGAATCACTGACACCATCGCTGCCTTCACACAGTCGCATCCACTCACAGCTGTATGGAGTTCCTGCCACCGTACATCCATCCTTGGTGAGGTCACTGCCCCACTATCCCTTCACACCCTTTCACTTAGCACACCCTCACCCTCACCCACATTCAGACTCAATGACCACATCTTTGCCAGCAAGATATCCTTCCCCAACACACCTTCCATCCTCCCAGAGTGGAGAGTCCATTGGCCTACCGGACTCGAGATCCTACTGCTTTGAACCACCATACAGCCCAACTCCACAGGTGCGTTTCAATATAATGCCCAGGACTTGAATATGAGAGTACTAAATCTGGTTTACTGTCATGGGGTGCAAATCTCATGTTGAGTGATATTTGGTTTAAAATTAATTACAAGTTACAGAAGAGCACTGTAACATTTTATAAATGGATATAATTTGTTACAGTTGTCATTCTTTGTTTACTGATTGGTTCCTTCGTGGCTGAGCTGCACTGATATACCAAGTCTAATAGTACCAGTAACTGTTTAGTCCGTTGCATTTCATTGTGAAATGTTATTTGGTATACAGGACATATAGGATATGAACACTAAACTTAAAAATGGTAATTCCTTGCAGTTACCAAGTTGGTTTTGATCAAAACATATCTTAGAACTAAATTATAAACTAACATGAAATTGTGAGCTGAGCTGTAACTAGAATATGTAAACAGTACTTTCAAAATGCAATATATCTTGAATATTATTCTTGCATGATAGCTTTGGTTGCAATAGGAATTTTACTTTCTCATTTTTAGTGTGGAAAATTATATTTATATCTGCAGTGCCCATTCTTCTGTTACAAAGTTCACAATAGCTATAATAATGTGGAACAATTAAATTTATTTGTAATATTTTCACATGCATTTAATAACAGCACCCACACTAACAAAACTTGGTATTAGAATCAGTAGTAATGACTTACTCCCTTATGTTACCTCAAAATACAGAACATTTCAAGTGAACATATCAATTTAGCTAGGAAGTTGCTATGTTGAAACAAATTTAAATTTGAAAATATTGCCAATATGGAAGAGTAATTTGTCACTTTCATATTCCAAATTTATGAAATTAAGGCAGTTGAAGTTTGTTGTTCTTAAATGGCTGTCTTCTGGGTTGCTGCCTCCATCTTTATCCTGATGATGGAGGCAGCAAAGACCTCTGCAACATTAATAAACTTCCACCAGACTACAAGGTGCTACAACCCACAAGACAGCCATCTTTGTACTCACTGCCATGAGAATCTAAAATCACACTTTGTTGTTCTTCTTCTCATTGTTAGTGAAATATTTAGGCTTTTGGAATCAGTGGTACCAAAATAAACACTATTAATACAAATTGTTATCTTTCTATCCCCCTATCTGCACTGGAGAATGTGATACATGTATCATGAGTTTTCTTATTGATATGTTTATAATCAGGTTTTACTGTGGTTTTATTTTTATTATTTTGGTCAATGTGTGGTTCAATTTAAGTATTTAATTACAGTGTAACTTTATTTACAGAACTTCCATCACTCACACTCCCCCTCAGTTGATCTTCATTACCATCACAAACCGCGCCCCATGTTACCAGCTCATTCTCACCCTGGTTATCGAGGTAATGAGGAGATAATCTCTGTTGGTTATCACAGCTATGAAGGGGGAACATTTCCTCGCAAAAAAGAAAATCAGCGGATCAGGTAAGCTTTTGTAAATCCACACATCATTAGCATAATTTACACATGTACAATTTTATCAAATTCAGGGATCTGGTGATGTGGGAGTAACAGCATCAGAAAGTCAGCGTTCTGTCACATCTTTGTGGGTGAGGAGTACCAGGTTCTCATTACTGTAATCTGTAGATCCCCTTTGCTGGCCATTGTGTGTACACTGTGATTGAGAGTGGTGGTCTCCATCATGTAGTTGTCTCACCATTTCTAAGGTGGGCATAGCTGAAGAAGGTGACACAGAACATAACTGCAGGCGTTAGCAAAGAATTAAATTATTTGACAGTGTCTTCTGAATATAAAGAGGTGTCTTCTGAATATAAAGAGGTGTCTTTGGAATGCAATGTGTGTGTATAAAAATATATAAATATTTATGTCCTTGTACACATGATTGAATTTTTGAGGGGTTGAGGATGCTTACTTCCTTGCCTGTATTATTTGCACAGAATTTTAACTTACAGAGTGTCATAGGTCATCTGCCAAACCATGTATCCCATAAATGTAGGTCATTCATACCAGGACTGTAGAAACAGCATTGTGACAAAATTGTCATCATGTGGAGGCAGTGGCTGGTAGGGATAGGTCATAATTGGTGGCTAATGTTGCTTGGCTCATTCTCAGTGCTGCATAATGTTTTTAAAACTACTTTTATAAGTCTGGTGTGTATCCAGCATTAGTTTTCGTGCTTCCATATGTGTTTAAATTTATGTATTAAACATTCCATCATGAGTAAACAAGACAGTACTTAAAATTATTTGTTGAAAAATTTTCTGCCGGCAGGCCACTTAACTGCCAGTCTGCAAGATCCTATAGTGACATTACAAGTACTCGACAAGTGGATGATTTTAACATATTATGAAGGTGACTCATATGCCTTTTTAATTATTGTAAAGAAACATCCATACTTTCATGCTTATTTTCACATTCTTTGTTGACTGGCACATTGACTATACACAAAAAACACACACACAAATACATAAATTGAACTATGCACTTTTAGCATTTTGTTTAAAGCAGATATGCAGTAAAACCTCCATATAGTAATTATTGGCTTTATCGTGTGAAAGTTACTGTGGAGAGGTTCTAGACTATATATTACAATAAAATCTTCAATGGTTACCTCTGTGAGCGACAGTGCACTTGAACACTAAACTGTGGTGAACATGAAGGAAATTTTTCTTTGACATGAAGGGCCTGTGACTGTAGAAATTAAACAATGTAAAAGGGGAAATTTTAAATTTATGAACTTTACAGTAATATAACATGTTGTATTGTTTTTCATCTGAACCCATACTTTCTTAAAGTATGTATATTCTTGTTCAAAAGATAGAGGTTTTACTGTGTTTGAATATAAGTTTTAATTGTAGGAAGGGTTTGTTATAGAATTTGTATGTTTCAATCTGCAGTTATATACTTGAAAGGCAATGATTAGGTTAAATTATTTAGATTAAGAAAATTTATTGTTGTCACTAGATGCTGACAGCTGTATGTTGTGTGCTATGTCTGTCAGTGTCAAGTTTTAATATAGATTGTCAAAATCTTTGAACAGAAATTGCACTTTATAGAGAAATATATAGCTTACTGTCGTTTGCACAAGTGTTGATCATGTTGCAGTCTAATAATAATGCTTATCTCGTAAAATCCATGTCCTTCATAGAATGTCTGGTAAGATAAAATATATCAATTTTAGTCTGTTTGAATACAGAATTGTAATTTGTATTCATAATTAACAGAATTCTGAAAGTAATTGAAATGATTGTGGCTGATGGGTAGGAAACTATTATATGCTGTTATGCTTTAAAGATGATGATGATATATATATATTTTTTGTTTGTTTGTTGAAGTCCTTATGTTTGAAACCATCGTTACTGTTTAAATGACAACATAACCTAACTGATAATGAAGTTATTTCTGTTCTGTCCCATTTATTTCTATATGTTCAAATAATGTGTGTTTATCTTACCAGGTTGTTAATTATATGTATAGAAATATTTACTTACACATGCATGTGCATATATGTGTCCATGACCATAAAGAAGTTGTAACTGTGCCAGGAAAGAAACATTACAGTATACCACACAGTAATCTTTTCAGGTATCCAATTTATTATTGCTTGGAACTTGCTGTCTAGAAGTCCCAGTTTTCCTTACTGTGCCTCTGTGCGGTTTTTGTGCTGAATATTGACTTTCAAGTTATCCTGTACTACTGAGAACAGATATAACACTAATATTTACTGTTGCATTTGCCCTTGCCAGATGCAAGGAAGTTTGAGGTGCTGTCTGGTCACTGACATATGACAAATATTGACTCACAAGTTCTGTGAAGGCCAGTGGTATGTGTTAGTAGTGTCTTTGTATTGCTAAAGTAACCAATTTGAGGACAGGCAAATTGATATTACTTCACAACATGCAACATCGTTATAATACCCAGACATATGTAGAAACAACTGTAATATTGTTTCAGTACCATTCACATCTTGTTATGTCATTTTGACTGGTTGTTAATGCCAGTACTGATAGTAGCTTGCATTCATCCTGTCAAAATAGTAATGTGTGTGTGATACTGAGGGAGCAGTCAGTGGCTATTTGTTGTGTGATAAGATTGTTATGTGGTGAGTTAAAACAACCACCACCAGTCTTTAACGCTGTAGCATTTTCTCACAGCTTTCATAGTTTCATATCACTATTTTTCATAGAAATTCGGATGTTTTGCATGATGGTTTTGTTTAGGAACATTTTAGTTTTACATTTAGAAGACCAAGGAAGCAAGATAAAGTTTTGCATAGACATATTAGATATTTTATTGTTTTTAAGGGTATTTAATTATTTAAAGCAAGAGGAAGAGAATTGTGGTCCTGCACGCAGTGTTGCCAAGTGATAGGAATGACCTGCTGGTTTCTAGTATTACATACATGCATTCAAGTTCAAGTGGAATATCTTGCAGTAGTGCAGCCTTGTATTACTTTCAGCATGACAAGTGGCCAATATTTTGAATTCTAGTATAGACATGTGAAATTAGGCATGGTAGGAGATATGTCTGTAAATTTAGTATTTATGTGATTTTTCCTTGCCTTTTGATGATGCCAAATTAATGCTCTTTCTTTCTCCCGAATAGAATCCCTTCTAACCCAAGTGTAACTAGCAAGAGTAGTGCAGGAAAGGTGTCAACAGGAAGCATTGAAAGGACATCAGATCGAGGAAGCCCAATGCCAACATTTCATGTGGAAGTGCTAAGTCCTGGGCACAGGGAAAACAAACGCAACTCTCTACCAGACTACTGCTTTTCACAGAAGTGGGTGAATCATGCCAATTCAGATATTCTGTATTTATTATTTTTATGTAGTATGTTTTCAGTGAAGTTAACATACAAACATCAGGTACATTGCATTCATATATCATAATTTTAATATGTAGGTACAAACGTAAAGGTATAAAGTATAGCCAAAATTTTAAATGTTGTTTGTTTCTCTAATGAAGAAGACCAGGTTGTATTAATATGATATCAGAAGGAAAGACAAGGATAATGCATGGATATTTATGATGATGTGGACATGTAGAAAGTGTGGAAAAATGTAAATGTAGACAACCGAACTAATTAATTAGACACAAACAGGATAAAAATGTCAAAGAACAGTTGTGTTTTCAGGGAATCTGTCAAGTAATGGAAGAAAAGAATTCAAGACTGTATATAGAATGTTGTTTCCTCTTTCTGCCATACAGACCATCACCTGGTGAGTTACGCCGAGTGCACATAGACAAATCGGTTGAACCATTGGGCATCCAGATCTCTTGTTTGGAAAGTGGGGGTGTATTTGTTTCGACAGTGAGTGAGCATAGTTTGGCATCACAGGTTGGCTTGCAGGTGAGCATGAACTGGTCAATGAGGGTTTCATTGAAAAGGACCAAATCTGTTTCCAAACAAGTAGATTTTGTGTCATGACAATGCACCTTTCTTCATTGTTCTTTTTGTAAACCTTTATTATACAGTAATAGGGGATTTAAACTCCCATGCTGGATTTAATTTCAGGGTTAACAGTTTAGCAGTATGCTAGTATAGCTGTATCATAATTAAGCAGTGATACACAGGTGATCAGGCTAAGAAATAAATATTACTGTGAATCTTTTGCCATACATGCCAGATTTGACCTCTTGTGTTTTTAAAACTAAAACTCCACTTGAATAGATCTAATTTTGAATAATTTTAAAACATTTGGAGCAATGTGATGAAAACTCTGGAATAACCTTCTGAAAATTATTTACAGCAATGATTCCAGGCATGGCTTAGATAGTGAAATGCACAAAGAAAGTCAGAAACAAATACCTTGAAGGTGACAATACATTGTGTACCTCATACATTTCATTGATTTATATTGCTGTGTACATTGTATAGAATTTGTTGTACTGGTATCTTAGGTGCTCTGAAAGTAGGCATTCTTTATTGGGTAGCCTTTCTGGCTTCTCAGACTGGTCACAATCAGTTATATCTCAAAGAATTTACAGTATAGAATTAATTTATACTTAAAAATAAAATTCCAAGATGTTTTTGATGCTATTGCCAACTATGAGGGTATGATACTTTTTTATAGTCAGAAAACTTTAGTCTAGCCTGTATACAGTGTTAACCTTATGGATGTGCCATATGGACTTATGGGTAGATACCAACATTTCAGAGTAACATACAGCCTCTGTCTTCAGCCCTGAAGATGGAGGTATTATGTCCCTCCGAAACGTTTGTATCTGCCTACATATTCACATGGAATTGAAGCTGACAAGCTCAAAATTGACATCTTCACTGCTGTGAGAATCTCATTTTGACTAGGTTATTCAATTTGTTTATACTTAACTGATTTTATACTCTTCATTGGTGGATATAAAATGTCATAGTGAACAGGACATGGGAGGTCTCACAGTAAAATGTGTTATAATTTACAGGTTGGAGATCAACTTCTTGAAGTTTGTGGTATTAACATGCGAAGTGCAACATATCAACTGGCAGCCAATGTTCTGCGGCAGTGTGGTAACTCTATAACAATGTTGGTGCAGTACAGCCCCGACAGTAAGTGGGAGATTTTTTTGCATAGTGCATTAAACTATCACTGTTGTTTAGGAATTCATTAACTATGTAAAGTTCTATAAAATATGATCCAAATACAGAATTGCATCTTAAAGTGCAAGATCTTACAGACTTGATTACATATCTGTTTAGACTTAAACATTGTGTAAATATGTGAATATTTAAATTTGTTAAGTTTGTATTTTAAAAAAATGATTTATCAGAATGACATTGTATACCACAGCATTTATTATAATTGTGTGAACTGTGTTGTAGCAGCTTTCAGTCTGTCTGTAAGTGTGGTGTTCAGCTTGATGCTGTTGCCATGAAGGTTCCTAGTTCTTCAGTGATTTGAAAACAGTAGAATATTCAGTTTATTTAAAAGCTGTCTTTGTCTAAGTTTATTTTAATTTTAAAATGTATATTAATTTAGATGGCTATCGTATGTGTTGTTGTGACATGTGGGCTTGTAGAAGTTTACCAGCATTTCAGAGTAATGAACGTATATATGCAATGTATATTCACAAATTTTGTATATGTTCTTGTTTTAATTTCTTGTAGAATATCATGAATTGGAGGGGTCAGTGAGTTCAAGTAGTGAAGAAGGACCATCCAGATCTGGATCTCCAACTCCATGTAACTCTCCAAAAACACCTCGCAAACCAGCACCTCTCCAGCTGGAGAAACTGTCCCCCTCATCCATATCAAGTCTACGAGGGGCTCCACAGTCTTCACATGGAACTCTCACTCGCAGCCAGATAGCACAAGCTGTGTCCACTCTCCAAAGACAAAATGCTACTGTGAGGTAAGTGAGAATTTAAAGGGGGACCATGCAAAGTGAGATTTATAAGCTTCAATGAATTTATGATCACTCAAAAACTTTGTTTTATTCACACAAGTGTACAGAATTAATGTATATAAAAGGATCTCTGGCTGTCCACATGTTTAATCTTCAAGATTTTGGTTAAATTTGATATTGAGGGCATACTGTAAGTTGTCAGGTGATTTTGATATCAAACTTTATTAATTTATATCAGTGGCTCATAACAAAAAAACTGGCAAAATATAGACCCCATTAATATACAAACTTTAATTTAGAACACTTATTTGGTAATGTGAACATTTAATTAAATGCAAGGAAAAATAATATCTGACCCTGTGCATTGATATTTGTTGCATTATTAGCTTTGAAGTAATAGTAAATGAAGGATAATGTTGTATCCAAAATGTCAATACATGCAATTTTAAAATATGTTTACTTTCATGTTTTAAGATAGCATATAGGTACGACAGTGAAGTAGTTATCTACATACCATGCATCATGTAATTTTTGCTTAAATTTATGTTGTCCCTGGTTAAGTTCTGCTTAGTGATAGACTATCCTAATAAGAGGATTTCATGGGGTTTAATGGTCACCTTAACAAAAATGTGATTAAAACACGGAGTTGCTACAAGTGGCTTCGTTTGCTTACAGGAGTCCAGAAGATCCTAATAAGTCACCTGTTCATGATCAGCGGTTTCTCTTCATTGAGACTAGAAAATGCAGCAACCTCGGTATCAGTTTGGTTGGAGGGAATGCAGTAGGGATCTTTGTGCATAGTGTTCAGCCTGATTCCTTGGCTTACAACTCAGGATTGAGGTAAGAACTTGAAATAATCCTGTGAGTATCCAGGAAGATACTTTTCTCGTCACATTGCTTGAAGTACCATATTTACAATGTTCTTGGCTGTTTTCTGAAACATATTTTGGCTGCGATTTTTGCACTTTTACGCCCTTTACTTTGTCACTGGCAGTATGCTAAAGATAATGGTGACATTTCCACTTATTTATTATGTGGCATATTTGCAGAACTGGTGATCAAATACTAGAGTACAATGGAACAGACTTGCGACATGCTACTGCTGAGGAGGCAGCATATGAACTTGCAAAACCTGCTGATAAAGTGACAGTGCTCGCACAGTACAATATGGACCGTAAGTAATTATTAGTATTCTGCCAATTGTTTAATAACATTCATATTTGCAGGTGGTTTAATAATCAGTGAAATTTAGTTTGTCATGTCCATCATGTTAGGAATGCTTTTGCAAATGCTACCACAGTGCCCATATTGTGGAAATCAAAGGATGATATGATGATCTAGACACATGTAACTAGAATTGAGAAGCAAAAAAATGCATATAATGGGGAAGCTTATTAAAGAAATGGTGATGAACCTTTTCATTCCATAAAAGTCAGGGAATTTTTTGCCAAGCTGTGCATACTGTCAGCTTCTAATGAAAGACTGTACTGCAAGTACTTAGTTAACCTCTTTGAAAGTGGTCAGCTGGAAGAAAATGGGAAGATATTGACTGTTAGAGAGATGGGGTTTAATAATGTGAAGTGATTCATGGTTTGTTTGGTAAGCATCTGGGTACCATTTGTTACTCTGAAGTAAAGCTTTCGCCATGGCAGTGTGGGCCCATGTAGAAGTCCAATGGCAATGAATCTGTGGGTAGAAATCATTTGAAACATATTTGTTGAGACTCTTTATTATGTTGAATTAAATCCTTATATTTTTGACAAGATTCGTATGTCTCCGCACCAAGTTAATCTTCACTGCTACAATCAAAAGTTTTTCTCATAAGTAACAGACAGTAGCCTGCACACTGTTCATGCTTATTACAAAGAATCATTGCTGTTGCAGGTTATAATGAAGTTAAGGACAAACCAGGAGACAGTTTTTATATACGCACTATGTTTGATCGTGTTGGAGATCTTGGTGATTCGTTACAACTTCGATTTCGCAAAGATGATGTCCTTTATGTTGATAACACCATGTTTAATGGAGTGCCAGGGCACTGGAGGACCTGGTTAGTAGATGAAGATGGTCATCGGCAGCAGTGTGGAATTATACCTAGCAAGTACAAGTAAGTGATAAACTGTTTTTGCTCTGGGAAGAACATCAGTTACAAGTGTTGTAATACAAAGTGCTCAGGTATATATTCGAACACAAAAGAGATAAAGGGAGAACTGGTTGATATTACATGGTGAGGGACTTTATAATTAATATAACACATGAAATATTATAAGCATTGTCTCTTAACAAGGTTATATTTGGCTGAACAAGTATCTAGGATGGGGAACAAGAAATGCATAGAGTTCTTGATGGAGAAACGTCTTGATTACAGTCAGCGTCAAAGGCCAAGGAAGAAATGAGAGGATAATCTAAAACTGAACCGTGTTGAGGTAGGGTTTGGAGTGTTTGATTGTATTTAATCTTGGTTGTGTTCTCCATACAAGCTACTAAGAGCCTGTGGTATCTGCAAGAGGTAAAGCCATAAAACATACAGCATTTATTCCTCACCATAATTAAAAATACAATCAAAATCTTGACATTAATAATAGGTGTGTGCACTGTCATTTTGAAGTCCATGCTGAAGACTGATCCATGAAAAGTTTACAAGCTCCAACCTCAAACTTTTGCTTTGTTCTTAATACGTGGCTTAACTATACTATTTAATGTTATTGAACAAAATAAATCTGTGGTGGAAACAGTGCATACATTTAGAAAAGCTAAAAATTTAATTTGTATAAGTATTTAGAATTCATGCTATACTACATATGAATTTCTAACAAAAGCAGTTTTATGTTTTCTCTGTTTAATCTAACTAGTTATCACAAATTTTTTAAGGTTTGATCCAAGCCAGAGCCATATAAAATTTTGACCTCATCTTACAGCACCTATGTAGATCATAGTGATGATGCCGATGACAATTATGATGATGTTGGCCACAGTATAGTAATATAGTTGATGATATTTTTCCCATAGGGTAGAAGAAGAGTTACTTTTGCGCCGCAGTTTGGGTGACTTGGAGGCTGATGCAAGGCGTGGCTCCACATCAGCAAGACGTAGTTTTTTTCGTCGGAAAAAACACCAACGCAGCTCATCTAGAGACTCAAAGGAACTAGCAAGTTTTTCTAACATTAACCTTGGGTGGTACAGTGATTCTGGAACTCTGAATGAGGAGGTGGCTCTTTGCTCATATCAGCGTGTTGAAAGGCTCGACTGTAAGTGCAGGATTTTATGCTTCTTTTATTTTGTAAAACATAGGAGTTTTGTCTGAAACCTTTTCTGACTCCAACATCATTGATTGGGTTGTTCTTGAAAGCTGCCACAGCTTTTCTCCAGAAGGGCTGTTCTCTTTGTGGTTAGTTTTAAACTTTACTTTTGACTGTGAAAGCTAGCTGTATGTACTATCTGCTTTAATGTTCAGTAGCTCTGTATTTTGCCCATAGAGTTTATATTTTATCTTTGTAATGGTAATGGGTTTAAATATTATTTAGATGAGCTTCAGATTCGAAGGATTAATTCTCTCTCTCTCTCTTTTCTAGATCCAGTATTTAGGCCAGTCCTTATAATTGGGCCTCTTGCCGAGTGTGTCACGGAAAAACTCATCCAGGATTTTCCTGACAAGTTCACCCGTTGTGTCCCTGAAGTAATGCACCGCCCTTTGAACATAATGGAGAAAGGAATATCAGAAAACATCTTTGTGGACTTCAGAAAAAAAGGCAATACCTTTGAGTGCACTACTGTTACAGCTGTGAAAGAAATCTGTGATAAGGTAACCGATCTCATTCACTCATTTGTTCTGAGACAATCAGTTATTATTTTAACCTAGAAATACATAACGGTTCTTTTAACTCTTTTACTTCCCTCAATTCAAGGGAGTGTAGCAGTTGGGTAGAAGCACCACATGCCAAAGTTGGGAATCTAAATATTTTCAAACCTACTGGAAAACTCCGACATTAACCCTTGCACTACTGAGCCTGTTGTTAATGTGCAAGAATAGCTAGGCAGTTTCTTGTAAACTATGTAACACAAGGAAGACATTGCATGCCCATTTTAGGAACAAATAACGTTAAAATTTACTGCATAATGTACATATGAATTACATACAGTGAAAAAACAGCTTCAAACATTTGTAGATTATTGTAGCTGACCTAGAACTTTCCTTGCTGGCAGGGAAAGGATTAATGAAATCATTCATTCTCTTTACCAATGAAAGAATAATTTGCTTAATTCAGTTAATTTTTGACATTGCTGAACAAGTGAACATTTTATGTGCATTTTTGAAACCATTTATTACTTTTTTCATATGAGTGCTAAGTCATCTGCCCAAACTACTTGACCAACTTTGATGTAATTCATTAAGCTAGACCTGTACTAACCATTTTGGTATTTTTTCAGTCTAAATTATTTTAAAGGCCTGTATTTTCTGAATATTTTAACATATTTTAATAAACCTTTATGCATATGACAGTTGTGTACATTGCAAATATCTTAGTATAAAGAGGTCACAGTGTTACGGACTTTATTAATCAGAAATTATAAGGTTGGCTTGAATTGTGTAATCAGAAAGAAAATGTGATCATTTACAGTCATGTACACAGAGGCTGTATTATGCGGATGTTTATTTTAATTCCAGAATAGCCATTGTATTTTAGACATCAGTCTAGCTTCAGTTGAGAGACTCCATCGTCACCAAATTTATCCTATAGTGTTGCTAATCAAGTTCAAATCAACAAAACAAATAAAAGAGGTGAAGGATACTCGCTATTCTATGGAGAAAGTCTCAGCTAAGGCAGCCAAAGAAATGTACGAACATGCCTCTAAGTTGGAGTCTGAATACCGACATTACATTTCAGGTAACAATTATTCTTTCCACTCCTTATCTTTGAACTTTCTAGGTGTTCTTCATCCTGTAGCGTGAGTCAAGAACACTTTATGGGTTTGTCTGTGTCTGTATGTTAGTCTTTCACATTTATTGTAAGAAATTTGTTGACATTTTATTCATGATTACTGGCTCCATTATCAGGACCCACTCAACAAATCAGTATGTATTCAAATATATTTAATTTAAAGACTGTAATTCCATTAGCATTTACCATTTATTAGCTGTGTGTCAGAGCCCAGCAGGCTGTGCAGTGCCCCAGTATACTGGTAAAACCACTAACTACAGAGTTAAGTTTGGTTTTATGTCTGCTAGTATAGTAGTTCAAGTCTCCGATTCTCATTTAGTATTTGTTAAGTTGTTAAATAATGTAATTCACAGTTCTGTTAACTGTCGCTGTTGCCTCTGCCCTCTTCACAGTTGTGTACCACAGTTTCCTTTATCATCCCATGCCTCCCATCCCCTTCTAGCAGTTGTCCTTTTCTGCCCTATCCTAATATACAAATCCCTTCCTTCCTACATCTGAAGGAGGAGCTCAGACATCCCATCTTATATGGTTTCCATATTTACACTGTATTTATTTTGTTGCAGCTGTGATCCCTGCAGGGGTAAATGTGGCATACATGTGCACACAGGTCAAAGTTGCTGTTGATCAGGAACAGAAAAAAACTCTTTGGGTCCCCTGTGGTTCAATGTGACAGTCAGGATCTTTCTCGGGTTCTGCCGGGAAATGTATTACTGCACTAGATATTCACAGATGGCAGTCCTTATAGCTTTCTTCACAGGGTGCAGTGTATATAGTTTGCAAAAGGAGTACCGTCACATAGGCTGTAGGGTTGTGTCCTCATAAAGAAACATGTGAAAGCATAAGTCTGTTGTGGTGGCACTATTTCTTTCTTAAACTGACCAGATGCAATGTTAAAGATCTTACAGGATACTGGTTTTACTCAATTAAATTACAATCTTATATTTAAGATAAAATTAAAGATTTCACAGAAAAATAATGTAACATGTTTCTGTCTGAATATTTCAGGTGGAAACACTTAACATGATAGTTTCTAGTCATGAAGACATAAACAAAAGAAGCATTACCTTAAGGCACATTACACCATTATCGTCCACTGTCACTTTCTACTCTGCTGTTTGAGTAATTTTGAAAAAAAATTAATACCAACTGGGAGGATAGGATACTGACTTTGACTTTTGGTAAGTGTAAGTTGAAACTAAGAGTTCTGAAGGTAATTTAGGTTCCACTATTTAACCTGCCACATGTTCCACCAATTTTACTCTTATTTATTATTGCTGATGCAAATAATCTTGGAGCATTTTAAAATAAATTGGTGTCAGTATTATTTTTTTACAGGAAGTGCCAAAATAATATGAATTTTCTCTATACCCTGCACCCTTGAATAAGCCGTTTCCCGTTTTTCAATAATTAAAAAAAATTAGGGGTAACTTTAATAAGTATTAAAATATAAATTTATAGTATAATTTTACATAATGTCTATGCATGGTACAGTTTAATTCTTTACAGGGTGATATCTGCAGCACAGAAATGGTGCTTGTTAACATCTGAACTTTGTTACTTCGCACAGTTTGAATATTACTTTCTCATAGCAAACATAACTATGTGATGTCAAGACAATAATTACTTAACAAGTATTTCATCTCAGTTTTTTCATAATTTATCAGCTGAGCTCATCTAATAAGGGTCAATGACCCATAAATAATTATGCTACATGCCATTGAGCTCATAAGATATGCCACACTTCTTAAAGCTCCTTTCAGCCAGTATGGGCAAAATGCATGCCATTACACTTTTTATTTGCACAGAGCCACTCGGTTTTCTGACTATTCGACTTTCCTTATTGGTGTGGGGCTTCCTGTCATCATCCATCAGATGTATTGTTCTCTCAGTATGGCTTTAAATGAGTGATTTATATGAACATCCAGTGGTTGCAGTGTTGATGGTAGTCTACAAGGGATGATGATTTGTATTTCTGCTTTTGAGGTTATTTTTTGTTATTACTATAGTTGTTATTTCTTCTGTTATATGGCCACAGTACCTCACAGGTTAATATTCATTTGTACACTCATGCATTGTAGCTGTGCATGGCTTGGCAATGGGTGTTCGAGTTAAGAGGAAGCTTTGTTGCCATCCTCATCACAAATAAGCCACATGCTGTAGTGTTTGGTTACCTTCCATTTTTTTAGAAAAAAGTGTGTGCAAGTATTACAAAAGAAATGGTATATATGAAATGTTTACATTCAGTGCAAGTGCAAACATGGTACAGTAGAGCACCGATTATCCAGGGCCCAGTTTTCTATTGAGTGGATTATCCTTGGTCTCAGATGTCTTTAATGTGTAATTATATTTTTCTTAACTAATTACAACACTGTCTTATATTGAGTGGAACTCGACTCATCACTTCCATTTAAAAGTTTTTTATATATGTTTTGCAATGTGAATATGTATGTTTCTATGTACAAGTTCCTATTTTTCTTATATGGATGATGATAATTCTAATAAAATATGATTTGCATAACCATGTTTTTCGATTATCTGGGCTCCTGCTTCCCCAAGTTACCATTGATAATTGGCACTCTACTGTACTTAAGAGTTAGGACACTAGAACTTCCTCTTCCATTTATCTCATTTCAACATTTATCATTAGAACTGAAAAAGTTTAGGATTACCAGGTACAGAAGTGACAGTTGCATGGACAGTATTGTTATATCAGAAAGATGGGACATACAGCTTTCCAGTGTTTTGAATTATCAGTACATATTTGTTAATAATTGAATGATGTAAATAACTACAGAACTGAAAACATTGCAAACTGGCTTCCATCTGTGAGTTCACTTCAGAAGATTTAAAAACTTTTTCCAAATGTACAGCTAATCTCTTTCCTCGTAAGAAGTATCCTTGCAAAGTAAATAAAAATGTAAGTGACCTGCTGTATAAATCTAGTCAACCCAGTTGCTGAGCTGAGGAAGTCATTAACCAAATATTTATTTATTTATTATTATTTTGAAATCTTTAAAGTTTTAAAGATATATGCCTGTGAAACACCAAATATGCTGTTTTCTCTGCTCATTAATATTCAAGGTTTAGCCACCCCAGATAACTGGGTTTTGAAAGGCTACTTTTTTATGTTATTGGATATATATCAGTTTTAAAGTTCAATAGTTTATTTTTCTCTTAGTTAACATGTTCATATTTTGGCCCAAAGTAATTGTCTTATAATTTAAATGGACACATCTGGAGATTCTGCAGGTGTGCCGGTACTCCGTATTGTAGCCTATATATACTAGTGTTGTCTCTACCAAGAGGCAGGAAGATGTACAGTTGTTTGAGGTATTGGGTATGTATATATGGTCTGGGGAGATTATGTGCTTAATGTTGAAAAAGTCTAGTATATTCTTTAATTGCAAGATGCACTCTTGCTTTTATTGATAGGGTACTATAAAATGCAAATAACTAAGCTCTTTCATCATCATGAAATATGTCACATATTACAAAGAAATATCTTAAATCAGTAGTTATTATGGAGCATAAAATATCTTGTGTTAAGTGAGAATTTTGGTTGCCGTGCTTGCATTTTGTTATACAGTGGATGTTATCGATAGGTATGTTCACAGTTTGAGTGAATATTTGTGTTCTCTGTAGTTATATCTTTATAATGGCATAAAAATAAGTCATGCTCTGTCTAAACTGTTGTCAGTTTTTGTTGCAAAACAGTGACAATAATTGAATTATAATAATGACTGTTTGTATTCATCTAAGCCTAGCAACTTCCTTAAAGGTTACCATATTGTTTATGTAGAGTTATGCGTATTAAACAATTGCCATTTAATGCTTGAAAGCTTTGGTTGTTGACTTGGATAAATTTGCCCCACTTGGCATTAGATGCCTGTAGGTCATGCACACTGTTCGAATATGAGCAGGCTGCAGAAATAATTTTATCTTTGGTTAAAGAGGTTTTTTTTAAGGTACTGAAACCAATCATAATCAGGCATACACAACAGAGGCTTGAATGAGGTGACTGTTCTTTTAGTAGACTGTATAAATACTTGTCAGAGAAGAAGAGGCAATTAGATGTGATAAGAGGGAAAGTGAGAGGGACTACCCATAAGCTTTTGAAATAAAAATTGCAAATATTGTAATCATCCAGTGATAAGCGAGCTCTATAGGATAATCAAGGTGCTCAAAAGCAGTTGTTACCGAAGAGTATTTATACACCCTGTTTAATATCTCATGTGTCTGTCTTCCTTATAAACTGTTATTTATTTGAAAGGGTGGGTTGACAGTTGTGGAAATCACTGTCACTAAAACTTAATTGCTTTTGTTGTTAATAAACTGTATGTACCATACACCAAATACTTAATTACACTTTATAAAGAAAATAAATTTGTAAAACTAATTTTATGGATTTTATATGTTTAAAAGTATGTTAAAGGAGATACAGCCCTGTGCATTAATGATAGTATGAAACCATGAAATTTCTTTTAAGTGTCTATAGAAAGATTTCTTTTTTCCTTGGCAGCTTTTCTTTTAATTTTTGGCACAATGCAAATTAACACTAGCAGTCAGTTTTTTAAATATAAAATGGAGATTTTAACTTTTGATATCAGTATAGGTACAGGTTTAGTATCAAGTTTATATTAGGGTATGAATGGTGGTGGTAGTCATATGTTATTACTTGTCTCAATACTGTGTGTCGTGTAACTGTTCTCTGACTACCATTACCAGAATTAGTCTTTCAAACTTTATTGAAAGGGCTCTTGAAACCCACTTCCTAGTACATGGAATAGTCCATTCATCGGTGGAGGGGTATAGGTTCTGCTTTATGTAGTATTTTGAACTGATCAGATAGCACAAAGATTCAGATGATATTATTATACACATTTGTTAGATTTTCTACACTGCATGACTCTACCACTTAAGATTATAAGCTATAAGAGAGGACATATTCCTATAGTTTCTTAATATGTATATTTGAAAAAATGAAATGCAATACAATTAAACATGGGACTAAGGAATTGACCTGCCTTGTTAAGACTGACATTGCTAGAAAGTTGAAGGCACTTGCAATTTTGTTATAAAATGATGTTAAACTCAATATAGACATCATTTTCCTTCCTATACAAATATTTATACATATTCACATACACAGAATAGATTTCACTTTTGCTTATTGTATAGGATGTTTTCTGTATGTTGGTTGTAGTATCAAATGAGCAGAATATAATTTATTAATCCTGATGTGTGGATGTTGTAAGTATTAATATACAGTATTGTGGTTGTAAGTCAGTCACGGTAGACACTGTAAATAATATGTTTAAATGTATGTGATAGAACAAATCACTTTTCCATGTATAGCAAGTGGAATTTAATAAATACTGGAGAGGAGTCAATACAGTTTGTCAAAAATTTATTTTAATTTTTTTGATAGCATGCCATGAATCCATTTTTACCTTCTGTGAAATAGGGAATCCTGATAAATAAAAATGTATGGATACACTCACTAACCTAAGTAAATGTTAAAATGGAGTTTTCTGTACTGGGTTTAAGGTATTCAGTAATCTCCCCACTGTAAAAAGTCTGAATCACATTATAAAGAAGTTTAAACCAATATTAAAGAGTATATTTATCTCACTCACTCTATTCCATAGAATTTACCTTAGCCAAAAATTCTTAGCTATTATAAAGATATGTAAGCAATAGTGGTGGTGATTTCTTGTGTAATTATTGTTGCGGTAGTACTGTAGTTGACTGTAAATCTGATAACTATGAAATTAATAATTGTATTAGAAACGAGTATTTCTGCTGTGACCTTGCACGTCCTTGGCTTGGGCTTATGAAGGATCTATGGAATGTAAGTAAATTCTATTCTATTTTAAAAATTAACAGCAAAAGATTAGGAGCCGGCGTAGCTCAGTCAGTACAGTGACTGGCTACGGACTGGGCGACTGGGGTTTGATCCCCGACGGGGGCAGAGGATTTTTCCTCTAGCCTCTGTGTCCAGACCGGCTCTGGGGCCCACCCAGCCTCCTATTCAATGGGTACCAGGGTCCTTTCCCGGGGGTAAAGCGCGGCTGGGGTGTGATGCTGACAACTCACCCCCATCTAGTGCCGAGGTCAAGAATGAGTAGGAGCTATACCTCCACTCCCCCCAAGCGCCTACATGGCGTATAGTGGGACAGCTTTACTTTTTTACAGCAAAAGATGAGGTCAATATTTTTAGAGCAACTTACATGAATTTTAATGCTTGAAATGTCAGGATTCTATATAGGTGAGGCAAACAGCAGTGGCATCAGAAAAGCAAAACTTTGGTTTAGTGGGAGAGCAGGTCAAATTGGACAAGGTCAAAAATTTGCCAGAGCAGCCTTGCGTGGTTGAAAGAACTGGGCATGAATCACAATGTATTTCAATTGTCTAAAACATGTAATAAAATGCTTTTAAAAATTGTCATCAAAGTTAAAATAATTGCCCCTTTAATAACAGAGCAAATAATTTCATGTTGTTTGCCTTAAACTACAGTGCATAATTTCTCAAACTATATAAAGGATGTACTCTATAACATATTTTCAGGGAGGTTGGGGGTTCACAGTCCTTTGCCCGTAGACAATGTCAGATGTGTTTCACATCGCTCTAAAAGAAGTGCCACAGTGGTTTCTATGTACTTAAAAGAGCATGTCATAGTAATTTTGTGAACGCCAATATATGTAAAGCAAGTTTTGTATTTATATTTAAAATTCTGAGGTTTATGTATATTAATTTGTAAAATTATTTTTCATACTTGTATTGCAGAATCTGAAATTTATGTACATTGATATGTGAAATACGTTCATGTACTTGTGTTGAAAGTTCTGAAGTGTATGTATAGTGTATGAAATGACATGTTCTACATCCTTTGGTTGAGTCCTAAGAAGGATCTATGGAATGTAAATAAACTCTACTCTAATCTACCGTTTTGTAAGGCTGCAAAATATTATATAGTGTTTGAGAACAAGGTGCTGATGAGATTATTTATATCCACCTGGGAAGACACTACCGGAGGCTTGAGATACCACATGAGCAGCTTCATTTATTATGTTAATGAAATCAGTGAACATAAAATGCAGGATGCATGGTAGAGATGTGAGATGGATTCGGAATTTTACTTTAAGGCCTAAACATTAAATATCACATGGGAGACTCTGGTGTGGTGTAAAATTAAAATAAAATAATGCATAAGGGTGAAGAATGGATTTATTTAGCTTACGATATGGAGCACTACTTCTTATTGTCCCGGAAATGGACGTCCAAATTGCCTTATAGGATGAAAACTACCTGTCCAGATGAGTTACAATTTATGCCATTTATTAAAAATTCTAAATATTATTAATTACATGTAGCACAGGAAATTTTTTCTGAAATTGTTATTCGGTGGAATAAGTTCTATTTGTAAAATAAAATTTTGGTTTTCTCCGGAAGTACATATTGTGTTACGTAGTGCTCTTCTGGCATATACAAGTACATGAGAGGTGAGAGTATTATTTTGCATCAGTAAAAATCTCATATCATCTGATTGAATTATTTTAAATTACTAATAGTTTTTGATAATTCTGATATGACAGTTTTTGCTTTATAAAATGATGGGTGTTTGAAAATGCTAAACTGATTTCAGGTTACCAAATATGGTGCAGCGGCTGGTATACAGACGACGATTGTCGTACAACACGAAAAGTAACAGAAGACGTGTGTAAGTATTATCTTATCACATTTATTGGAAAAGGTACAATAAATTAAAATTAAACATGCCCTGATGGTATATTTGTAATTGCTTTGTAAGATGTTTGATGTATAGGTTATGGTTGTACACATTCTCTTCCATGTGTAACATCGCATTCATATCTAATTTGTAGTGCTTCCTCATGTAGGACGTTTGCTGGTTTCTATATCAGCTTAACGAATATTTAACTAATATTGCTACGTGATTAGTGTTTTCTGCTGTTGGTATATGATATATTTCTCAATAGTGTCCGCACTCCTGGTGGTAAATTGGTTTATCAATACTTGAAGAAGCCAAAGAAGATACCCAGATGTGGGCAATGTAAGGACAAGTTGAGGGGTATTCAGCCAGCAAGACCAATGGAAAGATCACGCATGTGTAGACGAAAGAAGACTGTAAAAAGGGCATATGGTGGTGTACTCTGTCATAAATGCGTGAAAGAAAGGTGAGTGCAAATTAATAGTTGGCCCTGCTGAAACCACATCAAACATAATTTATAGATATGATTGTGTTGACTGTAAAATACATTTTTGTTTATTTTTAGAGATAGGATAAAATTAGAGACTGGGGTGTTTATGAACTGGGAAGGATGGGGAAAGTAGTATTTCTGGAATTCTTAAAGAAGGCACTGTATCAGCATTGACTGGTAAGGACTGGGGGAAACCAGACTGCAGGATATGTCATCTCTGTGCTGTTTTCTAACCTGAAACCTTCCTATCACAAATCAGGCATGCTAACCATGCAGCTGTGTTTAGTTACTGCATTTATTATAGCCATTGCTGGAGAACTTTCTGACTTTACAGGGTTTTGTAGTTTTCCTTAGGTCAGTACTTTGAAATAGGTTGTGACATTTGTTCTCAATTCTTCCCAATTAGGTACATAACTACCCTGGTCTCATTTCTCTTAATTAACCACAGCAGTTGATACTGCTTTATTAAATTACCAACATATGAGGTTAGAGGAATTTAGAGCAATGTGGTTTATAGACCATCATATATATGGTTAATTTTTTGTTGTTGAATTCTGTGCCAAAGGCTGTAGAAGATCATTAGTAGCAGCAGCAAGGTAGACCTAAAAGACCTGTTCTTTTCAGACAGAAATACTGAAGAATATTAAAATGTATCTTCACGGGCATCCAGTGTCTGTAGCCAGTGGGTTTACAAGACATAACTAATGCTATTCCGTGCTGTTTCATTCATGAGAAGTGTTTATGCCATTTTGTTTTACAAGATTGAATTCCTTTATCAGTGTTAAATATCTGTAGTTCTTCTTATGGCATTATTTCTTAGTTCATCTCAAAGGCAATACCTGGTGACTTGAAAATTTTGTTTTTGCAGTTTCAGTTCTTCTGTGTACCCTATTCAGTGCATATTTTTTCAGTCATACAGAACTGGTACTGCTATTACTTTGTAAAATTTAAGCTGTGTATCTTTTCTGGGTTTTTTTATGAGAGTTTGTTGTATTGTACCGCACATGTATATTTAGGAGGCTGTGAATGATGCACTCAGAAATTTCAATGCAAAAAAATTGCATATACATTTGGCTTTAATGGTAATCTTCACAATTGATATTTGGATACATTAGTCAGTTTTCTGTGCAGTCACTTTAAAAAACAGTACATTTCTTTGCATATGAACAAAGGGTACCACTACAAATTGATAATATTCAATTCTGCTGATAGCATTGGTTGACATATAAACTTCTAGGTTTCAGTGAAAGTTAATGTAGAACCTACAGATATAAAATCGGATTGGATTCCTTTATTTTTATGAGTAATTGCTAATACAGTTGTTATATAATATTGTTAATATTTAGGTCTGAAGTATTGAATATTTCAGGAAGCTGTTTTGAAAATTGTTTTTTGTGAGTGTTGTTCATTCTCCTTTTGCAGGATTGTTCGTGCATTCTTGATTGAAGAACAAAAGATTGTGGTGAAGGTGTTGAAAGCACAGCAAGCATCTGTGAAGTCAAAGAAGGGAGACAAATGATGTAACATTTTTGAAAAAACAATAATACTTGCTTAAAATAAAATTTGTGTTGGTCTGCTTTTTCTTGTTTTTGGTGTGCCTTGGTTTCTGCTGCTGTTGCACTTAAACAGTAACATTAACAAGTAATGTAAAGTCCACGCTTCAAGGAGAATGAAAGAGATGGGTTATGTAACACTTGGTTGGAATGAAAGATGCTTAGTGTTAAATAGCCAGAAGAAAAGATTGCATTTCAGAAATCTATATGGTTGGAAGGATAGTGTTGAAATTGGTTTTGCAGGGTGCTGTTCAGATTTACACATGAGACTTGACCATCTTTATAAGGCATTAAAACAAGTAGACTGATGGAGAGAGGACCTGCCTCTGCAAAAAATCATGTCCTGGCATATAGTTCATAGTCTATAACTGCTTGAGAGATATCTCGGTTCACAGAGATGGAGAGTAAGCGATGTTAAATGATATCTCAACACAGATATGCCCTAAATCATTTCTTCGCTCATGGTTGGTGCCACTGAAAGCAAAGACTACTAGCATTTGATTTGACGTCTCTGTTCTTTCCGTAAATAAAAGTTCAGTGGTCCAATCCCAAGCACTCGTTCTCTATAACAATGTGTGACGTCATGAGTTGTGTTGTAGGAGAAAATGGCTGAATTAGGCAGAAACCCTGTTTGGGGCCGAAAAGCACGTTTACTTCTAGGATTAGGTGTATTCTTAGGACAAGGAAGTTCAGGTGAGTATTGTGGATATTTTATTAATTTATATTTAACATTGATAAATGCCTGGACAGCAACTTATGTGCTGTGTCTGTTGTTGCTTCTAGTATCTCAAGATATCAATGTTTACGAATGGCTTCTGAGAAAGGATCGTTTTGAATAGGGTTTAGATTTTAACTAGTTGTGTTTATGACGTGTTGATTATCTTCACTTATTTTATATTTTATCATCGATCAAAGAAGTAGACTAATGTTAACGTTTGCGAAGTGCGATATTGAGACGTCAAATTAGTGATTAGATACGAATCAATTTTCATGCATCTACTACAGTAAAAACATTACACAGGTGCAGATGTTTAATAAATCTGACAGTGTGAGTAAAATTGTGTGTTCTACTAATACATGTTATGAGATGTGTGCTTTGGGTTGCATATTTTCAATTATAATTTGCTATGTAAAAGTAACAATATAAATTAAACTATTAACACTATAAATGACACTAGTGCCAAACGCGTTTCGACCCGAAGAGGTCATTATAATTGGCAACAGGGAATTAATTCATATAATCAAAATGGTTTCAAAAACAAATCAAGAAGTAGAGTTCTTTACAAAACCATAAGAAGCAACACTACACTAGATGTTGGTTTCACAGGAGTTGTACTCTGCAATTAGCTATTGGTCCAGTTGTCCTGCGGCCGTTGCTGGTCTGCGGTGAGCAGTGCCTGTGAACTCCAACGAAGTATGGGTGTTACTGTACTTCTTGATTTGTTTTTTAAACCATTTTGATTACATGAATTAATTCCCTGTTGCCACTGATGATGACCTCTTGAGGTCGAAACGCGTTTGGCACTAGTGTCATTTATAGTGTTAATAGTTTGTTTGTTTGCTTATTTTATATTCTAATACACTACACAGTATGCAAAGTTTTAAGAATGTAAAAGTAACACTTTGTATGAAATTGCTATTAGGACATGTCAAAAGTGGATAAACTTTTCGGTATATGGGTAGTACTGGGGAACCCATAGAATGAAAGAAAAGGCCAATCCCAGGCAAATAATTTGTCATTTTATGTATAGGTGGTTTATGCTCAAGAGATAATCATATGGTAAGGGTATTCCATGACTGCATCTCTGTAGCAATTCACATTACAAATATTATTAAAATATATGATGAGAATCAGATGAGGGTATTGAAACAATTCCTGGCACTTTTATATGGCAGTGTAAACTAAAATAATGTAATATAGAGATAAATGAATAAGAATTGACTGAGTTTTACAAAGTATGGTGTATTGCAAGAAATTAAAATTAATTCACAACATTTAATGACTGCCAGTGCTAGCTTGCCAGTTAATATCTAATTTATTTGTGATGATTTTTGTTCAAAGTTTAGTCTCAGATTTAATCTGAACTATAATTATGAGTATGTGCTTTCCATCAGATTATGCAAGTATGGCAGGTACATTTGTTTTAAAAGGTATTGTGCATTTCCAGGGTTTTAAGAAGTTTTGTCTGATCTACATTTAGTTCTTTTCAAACGTTATTTTATATTTCTGTAGACAGATTTTGGAGTAATATGTGAAAATAGGACATGATTTTCTGTTCTGGCTGTTTCTTGCAATTTGGCATTAATAATTCTCACACACTTGACACAGTCTTGGTGGTTGATACAGCATTACAAAATCAAAGAAGTATTTATGTTTTTTTTTCTGTCCATGGAATAGACAAATAGAAGACAGGATTTTTCAACATGTACTAACCAAACTTTTTCATTCAAAAAGGTATTGTAGTTTTTGAACATTTGAATAGGATTCTTTGATATTAACTTTTTGCATAAGTTTGTGATGTCAGTCAATTCATTGGAAGGCAATGAGTTGGACATCAGGGGTTTGATTCCTAGCAGGAACAGGAACTTTTTTCTGTCATTGTGGCTGAGTGGCTTACCCTTCTGGGTACTAGTTTTTTCTGATTAAACAAGGGGAACATGAAACTGACTGTGCATGCCTGTCTAGTAATATGGCCTGTAAACATGCTTCCCAAGAGATGGCATTTGTATAAGTGTGTATCACATATAAATTTTAATAGTTTTTACTGTCTTTCTTTTTTTGAAAACACATAGTGTAGTTAAAACGAGGTGAGTGATTAAACTACTGTGCTATTGGTTCACCTAGCAAGCCATGTAATTATTCTCTGAACAGATTATTATGAATGAACTGGGGTTAGCTCAGTCATTGTAATTACTTGCTGCAGTGAATGGGGTTTGATTTCCCCGGAGTAGAGAATTTTCTCTTCACCATCGTGTCAGAACCGGTTCTGGGGCCCACCCAGCTTCCTATCAACTGGGTACTGGCACAGTTTTCCTGGGGGGCAAAGCGGCCTAAGCGTAAAGCTGATTGTTAATTTCCGACAAGTGCCATAGTTGAAAATGGTTGAAGCAGTATCGCTCGCTGCTCATCTACACGTCTGCATGGCATTGTGCATAATTATCGAGACAGCGTTATCTCCTAACTTACTGTGAAATAACAGCATTGGATATCAGCGTTAGTTTCTGTCAACAGTAGCAAAGTTACTGTCTTTTGGGTAGAATTGTGATTATGTAAGTTGTGACTCGTGGTTTTTCGTCTGATGAATGGATTACGACTTGGAGATGGGTTAGTGAGGAGCCGCTTATGTCCAAAGAACCAGGCACATGCGGCAAGCAGACGTTACACGATGCGGACATGTAGATAAAGAAAGACGAAGATGGAAAGTAATTTTTGTACTACATTATTAATCACCAAGTTCTGATACTGTTATATAGACAGTACCGAATCTAGGATTTCATTTGTGGAACTTTTAACAAATCATTGAACAAGGTATTTATATTATAATGACACGGAAAACAAGATTTTGATCCAGAAATCTCAAGGCATTGGCGTGATTTTGTGAGCACGATGATGAAACTTCAGGGTCGATAAAATGGTATTTCTTTGTCGGCTGGATAACGATTTTTCGCTTTTCAAGGAATTTGTGTACCATGGAATTTCTCTAGTGAAGAGTTTTTTGAATGTAGTTTATTTTGATGTAGCCCCCACGTGTAGTATATAGCAGTTATGTAAACTTGTGAGGTGGAGGCACACGGCTAACATTAACTGTAAAATCGTTTAATATGATTATAAAGCTTTAAAAAGTGTGCACCTTTGTTAAGTTGTCCAGGAATACTTTAAAAGACAACATGGACACCACGTAAAATATTTTGGAATGTAAGTGACTGATGAATCGTAACTTCAAATAAAGATGTGTTACAAATACTAGTCTGCTGTTATTATGATTGGTGTTCAAAATTACATTTTCCAAGCCTTTTAAACCCCCTAATTCATCCAGTGGTGTTCGAATATTTGCCTTGTATTGGAACCATAGAGTGTCAGAATGTGATGCAATGCGCAAATGAGCCGATCTTGGTGCATGTGCGGTGTTTTTACAACACTGGGGTCGCAGGTTCGAATCCCTTGTCAGGACTCAAATTTTTCCGTAGAGGCCTCACAGTAGTACTTCCATCCAGGGAATCTAACCGCCGTGTGATAACGCTTCTACAAAACAGGAAACCTTGGTTCACATCAGGCTAGAGTGTCAAACGTGTAAGAAGATTGGGTTTTAGATACGTATATGTTTGTGCGAATGTGTTTTTATGAAGAGGAACGATGTATTTTGTTGACAGTAATAGCTTCTGTTGAGTTCGGCCTATGTCATCGTATGCAAGGTCGAACTGTATGCTGAGGCGAAGTAATTACATTGTGCATTGCAACAACTAAGCTACATCCCATACCAATAACACCAAGCCCGGCTGTACATGATCGGCATTTCTTCGACGTCTTTTGTCTTAAGGCCCATAGAATGGAAAGAGTATTTGTGCGATACTAATTTTTTAAAACGTTTCAGAGCAGCTTTCTCCTTCCATCATCTCATATTATTCATAATCAGGTTGATGGTGAATGCAGCAGGCTCTTCTTGTACGTCGGTCAATATCTACCAGACTTCTCGATGCAACGTCCCAGAAGACTGCCATCTTCATACTCATCGCCGTCAGCGCTGATCCAGAATCTCTCGGCATCCCTCCCGCTACCCTGTCAAATCAGTACGGAGTATCAGCTGCTCTGAGATTTTTCATAATTTTTTCTCAGCCCTTCAGTAATATGCCAAGGTAGTCCATTAGAGTAGACCTTATCGTCTTCTTCCCACTTCTGCGGGTTCGCAACAGTCATCTGATCATGACTGTTTACCCTCGCAATTGATTCAACCACAGGGAAGATTTATAATCTCTTTGGGGAATGATGAATGCTTGGTTGTCACGACATTCGCTTGAAGTTTGCCGGATTACAGGGAATATCTGTCTGAAGGTAATAAAGTTCCAACCTGCACTATCAGACGTGGAGAGATACAGTAATTTACGTAATCTGCACAGGGCGATGTTTATATCTCGCTATACTTTATATAGTGACGTCAACTATTCGCCAGTCGGCTTGGCGTCGTATTATGAAATGGCTGAAGTCTCCATGAATGTGTATGAAGTCTTTTAGCCGACACTAGTGTGAAAATAGTGAGTATCTTGGTCCTGTTCCAAAAGGAGAACTATTTTTAGGACGGTTACAGTAAGGAAGAAAGGATTACGAGTTTTGACTGTCTTCTGTCCCCCTAGGCTGGGCGCAAGCAAGCTTGAAGTGAGTGGCATTTCATGCTTTAAGAGGGGAGTACCTGGGCACGTAGCACAGAATTTTATATAACAGCGGTCACTGTAACTTGGTTCATAACCCAAAATGGGAATGTCAGATGGATACAAAAGGGTTGATAATGCAGGCAACTTCTCTTCTGAAGAGCATTTGAAAGCTTATAATCTCCGCTTTAGCGTTATAAAGACATATATAGTGAGTTCTTTGTACATTCATTCTGAAGGTAGTGTTACTGAAATGCGCCAAAAGATCTGATCTGTGAAATGAAATTTATTGAAGAATTCATGACGGTAATGAACAGTTTTTCGAGAAAGAATATAATTTGTTTGCCTGTAGAAGTTGTGTTCCTGAACGCCCGTAAAAGGAGTTTAGGCTACGCCTGCTACAGTTGAGCTGCAGAAGTTGCCGGTCATACACGGCGTTGAAACCCCCTGAAATCAGTTATGAAACGGCTGTATTTGGGGCTCGGTCACATTTCTCTGCCAATGTTTTTAGCTTTTTCGAAATTATATTCGTTTCTGACGCAGTATCAACAGCTAACGTCATGCAGGTTTGATGAAAGCCTTAAAAAAACGTATCCCAGTTCTTATTTGTGATTTTTATTGGTGGTAGCGAATCGCCCTGATGATGGAGGCAGCAAGTACATCATAAACGTTGGAAAACTTCTACCAGACTTCAAATCCAACACAGAATTTATTTTGCAGAAGAGGGTTGAGCGGGGTGCACGATGCGGTCTTTTTCTCTTTTAGTGTAATATTATAGTACCATTCATTTCAGGCCAGACGGCGACATTGCCGAGTCTCGAACCAACCTTTTCTCGAATGCAGATCAGATTCATTGCTTGAGCTAACATGCTTGTTGCCACCTCCTATTATATTTACATATCTCCTGTCGTGTTAAGCAATTAACACATGCCGTTCTGGCTTCCCTAATTGTGCCCCTCTTCTTACTTTTTTGATATGTTTCATTTGCTCTTCCAACTTCGACGGAATGACCTAATTTCTTCCCACATCTGTTTCGGAACATTTCAGAAAAATTTGAGAAGCATTTCTGTATCAGCTCAAGTAGAATAACAAGCTCCCCTTTCCACTTACCAATCATACGTTCACTGTTCCTGCTACGAAATTGTGACCTGTTGTACATTTAAAATGGAAATTTTATGCTGGAAGTTGTTTATGAGACAAGGTATGTCAAAGACGCCTCATCTCATAACTCGAGAACCTTTGGTGTCGGCTTCAAATCTCGTTCTAGAGACCAGCTCCCCTTACTCAGATTTGTCGTGTTTTCTCAGCCCTCCAGGTAGTGCGAGGATAGTTAGTAGTCGTAACTTAAATGAAAAGATCATCACTTCCTTCCGCAACCTTTCCAACTCATTAAAAATAGTAAACGACAAGTCGCCTGTTCTAAGGCCTATGGTTTTCCTTGTGACTTCCTAAGGTGTTCGATGACCACATAGTCGCTTGTCTCGTGGTTGTCATAACTTGTTTACCCAAAGATTCCAGCACTTCTAATACAGGATCCCGCCATTGAACAGGATTCTGAGTCGGATCCTTAACATCATTGTAGTTTGAGGATTCCGCATCAAAATTCTATTTATATATTTTGTTTCCGCATTTTATCGTGGGCGCCAAGACCCAGTACAGTGATGTAGCGATATAACGCCTTAAACTTATTAGGATATGCTCATTTCAAATCTTCATGTTGTGGCTGTCGTGGTTTTCCTCAGTCTTCAGACGCGTGATAGGTCAGTACCTTGAAGCATGTCACGACTGATTCCGACTATAATCCTTGGCCACAATGATCTTATTCACGCAAAATGACCTCGGCAGGTGAAGGTGAAGCCTGCTGTTACTGACTTGTTTTGTAGCATTAATGCTGCGTGGTTGAAATGTGACTTCGTGCGTTATCGCCAAACTTGATGACTGCTACTTGCAGAGTGTAGGCTCGTGTAGCATGTGTTAAAGGGGCAAGGTGCCCGTATGTCGGGGTGCCTGAGGCCAACTGTTGAACCAAGCTGCCCCCTCCCCGCCTTTACGACATCGCGGCTCCACTGTGATGCTGTCTGCTGCTGCCACTTCTTTTGAGCTGGGAGGAAGAAATACCTTTCCGCCATACAAGGCGCCTTCGTGTTGAACCACACAAAAAACTCGTTGATGTCTGGCCCATAGGCGACCATAGTTTATTGCCAAAACGATTACCCACTGTGGACAGCAACGCCTTTTTGTTGCACGCCAGAGAATACGCACGGACAGGAATGTAGGCTGATTCCAAGAACTATGGCGTATGTATCTAGACATTTATCTGATCTTTTCCAAACTGAGCAGGGTATACAGTTGGCCACCCTCTTTATGTGGGTCTTCTATGTGATCTTTTCCCTTCAGGTTTTCTGATTAAAATTATGTATGCATTTCTCCTCATTCTCATGTATGCTGCATGCTCTGCCAATCTTATCCTCCTTGATTTGATTATGCTCAAAATATTTGGAGAAGATGTAAAACTTATGAAGCTCTACACTCTTTTAACATTGTTGAAATGTATGTATTGCTTGCAGATAACATCAATACACATGTTGGCATACATTAGCATGTTTATAGCATCAGGTTGCTGTTGTAATTAACACGGATCTATGTACACAATGCCAGACAAACAATCTGCATGTCAATTACAGAAGTAATATGAAGTCTGGGTGTACATTTATGTATGTCTGCATCCTTTAAAAAATGCAATAACAGATTTTGTGTATGATTATCCTGTGATTATACTACCTGAGAAATTATTTTTAGCGTGTTTGACATTAATATATGAATTCCTGTTATTCCCTTTCCTTATTGTCTCCCTCTGGCCATTCTGCAATGCTGTAACAACTTAGGGATTGTATCATTCTTGATGAAAAGATGCTGGATGTGTTTATAATGAAAAGGGATGTATGCAAGATTAAGTGGTTGTGGTGTGTTTTGAAGGCATTTCCTGTTTACTTTGCTCTAGAACATGTCATCAGGAAGGTCAGAGGGCGTAAGCGGGGAATTTGGAATATTGCATAACAAGGAGCTGCGTGAATTGTACAGGTCACTTAGCATAGTGAGGATAGTGAAATCTAGGAGGCTGTGATGGGCTTGACTTGTAGCAAGCTTGGGTTAGGAAGGGAGTGCATACAGAATTTTGGTAGGAACTCCTGGAAAATGATCACTAGGCAGACCAAGAAGGATATTGGAGGATAACATCAAGATGGCTCAGGATTGTGGCTGGTAGTGGGCTCTGGTGTTGTCGGTGTTGCACCTGGGGTTTCTGCTACCAGGGAGTTAGTTAGTTATCCTGTTTACTTGGAAAGATTGGGGAAAATTAGGATAGTCAGCCCTGAGTAAGACTCAGAACCAAGTAGGTATTGCTCAAGTGCAAGATAATGGCTGCAGTAACCTGCTAAATATTATGGATGGTGAATAATAGGACAACCAGGAAGATATGATTATTGTATGTTTTGAGGTATTACCATAGCTGTTTAATTGTGCCACTGAGGAAAACTATGTAAATATTGACTTATTTATTCTCAGTAACTTTGAATTATACAATTTTACTTTGTTACTAGTTGTGTGTGTTCTTCAGTCTGAAAAATTGTCTATGCTAAATTGTTACTTCCTTTAATAAAATTATACCTTGGGTTCTCACTAAGAAGTTGATGAGTGCCTACTTGTGGTATTCGTGACAAGTCAATTGAAAGCTTACAGTTGGTACTTAATTTCTATAGAGAAGTTTCCTTTGTTGTACGTATTACTGTACATACTGTAGATAATGCCACCCAACTCTGAGCTCGACAAGTTACCATCTTTGAAGAGCTTAACAAGATAATAATCTCACTCATTAATCAATCATATTAATCAGATGAGATTAGTGGATGAATTGGCCTGCCTTTTGCTTATGTGTGCAATGTTTTCTTCCATATTTTGTGTACTGTCTGTCCTGAAAGTATATTCTGAACACTAGACTTTATTGAAGTAGAATTAAATTAAAGCAATAGGAAGTCATGAAGCCATATGGGCAGGACATTGTTGAGTGAATTGTGCTTAAGAAATAGGAGTTAGCCATCTTTGGGGAAAAGCATCTTAAAAGTCTGCACTGCATTCTTTATGTTTTCATTATGTCATTACATTTACTAAATTTTAAGTGGAAATAATTTATTGCGTTGATGATGGATGTCGTAATCATCTCTGAAACATTGATCATTTTCTACCGTGTTACATGGTGCAACATCCCAGAAGATTTTATAGTTGTCATGAGAACCTGAAATGTCTCAAAGACTTGAAGAAATGATGCATTTTTAAAGCATGTGTTTATAATGTAAAGTTACAAAATAGACATTAAAAATGTAACAAGAACACATTCAACATAAAAGTGTAATTAAAATTATAAAACTCTGATAGTGTGAAGCTGACAGTGTGTAAGTGAGATAGAGATTTCCTGAAAGAAAAATTAAAGCATACTGCAATCAGTGAGTTTGAAATTTCAGTTGTCTGTTTGGCCATCATTACAAGTAGTGAGATTAGAGAAAAGGTTAATGTGCATGTAAGCATATATATTCATACAATGTTATGTGTATATTTTCTGAAATCATAATTATATTTTGGATATTTGCAGCAAATGGAGTGGAGTGTTACTGTGATGGCCATTGTCCCGACGGTAAGCCCAATGGAACGTGTGTGGGACAGCCTGGAAGCCAGTGCTTCAGTGCTGTGGAGGAGGTTTATAACTCGGAAACGGGGATATGGGAGGAGGAGCGGACGTTTGGCTGCCTGCCTCCTGATGAAAGTGGTTTAATGCAGGTATGGTTTTGGGTCACTCATACATATATCATGGTTTTGAGGTTGAGAGAGTGAGAAACTAGTTCATAATTATTCTGTTTTTGGTAAATTTGTGACATGTTCAGTTATTTTTGCCGTTTTATGTAAACTGCTGTAGCTGCCGTTTAAAAACGTATTATGTTCTAAATTTATTAATGTGTTCTTTCACCCTTATAAAATAAATTAGGCATATTGAAAAAGGTGTTCTGTCTCATAACTAAGTAGCAATCCAATAAGTGGCAGTCAGTTTTATTTAAACTTGATCAAGTGAATGGTTAAAGTCAAACTGGTAAAACGAGTAAGGGTCAAATAATATTGTGCATGTTTAATTAGAAAATATGAGGATTCCAAATGATGTGTGTTGCAACATTTATTCACAGGCTGCTGACACTTTATCATTGAAATGCAGTTTGCTCACTTCTGTAGAAACTATAAACGATAAGCATGGTCAGATGAAGCTGGGGATGTGGGGGTGGGGGGCAGAGAACTTTAATGTTACTTCCATTTAAACTGAATTACCTCATGAAGGAGAAAACATGGCATCAAAACTGTATGACTATGTATGTATCCTAATGTGCTAATGCTGGCATTTTTTTATTTTTTTCTCGTAGTGTAAAGGCCACCTGGTACCTCACATGCGTGGCAAGTCAATATTGTGCTGTAACTACACAAATCTGTGTAACCAGTTCCTACTACCAGAGCCAGTAAGGGGCAGCACTACCCCACGACCATCACTCACTTATGATGACAGCATCCCCTATATTGCTCTCATCATCTCCATAACTGTTTGTCTTATTGCATTCCTCATCGTAGTTGCATGTGTTTATCTCAGGTAAAGTTTACTTATAGTCTGTCTTACAGTTATTAAGATTGGTATGTCCCATTATTGATTATTGTAAAATATGAAAATAAAAATTAAAGTGTATGGTTTCTTACCTGTCAGGTATAAGAAGCGTGAGGATCGCAGACAAATGTACCTTGTGCAGGCAACAAGGAACTGTGACCCTTATCTGGCAAACAGTGGTACCCTTCAGGAGCTGATAGATCAGAGTTCAGGATCAGGCTCTGGGTTGCCTCTGCTGGTAAGTGCTAAAGATTATTGCTGTTTATATTTATCATGGTGTTGAAAACCTAATGTAAGTTAATCTGATGGCATACATGTATAATATACAATGAAGATTTGAATATTTGTATGACACAGGTGCTTACTCTAGAAAAGATATGTTGCACAGTACATACATTTATAATTTATAATCCAAATCATGTCAGAAGTTTGTGCTGTATATGTACTGTTACTGAATATTGCACATTTTCAGTTTTCTTCCGTTCATTGATATTTATTTTTTATGTAGTACATTAAAATGTGCTGCACGTATTTTGTCAATGGTCTCGTTTTTATTCTTTCGTATTTGTAATAAATTATCATGCTCAGAAAAGTTCAAGAAGCCACTGTGTGGAATAGAATTACTTATTGACAATACATATTGGCAATATTTTGTAGGTTCAACGTACGATTGCAAAGCAGATCCAGATGGTACAGTCAATAGGAAAAGGTAGATATGGAGAAGTGTGGCTTGCAAGGTGGCGAGGAGAGAGGGTTGCAGTTAAAGTCTTCTTCACAACAGAAGAAGCAAGTTGGTTCCGAGAGACTGAAATCTATCAAACAGTATTGATGCGACATGAAAATATTTTAGGTAAGTTATTGTCAATGGTAGTATTAACTTCTTGTATATTCTTTTATATATAGCATGCTTCATGGCTTGATTATTGGGTTAACACTACCAGAAAAAGAAATATGAAACTATAATAAATATTTGGCCTGTCTTTGTATCCGTCACAAACCGGTTTGGTATTAGGACAATGGAGGGATAGCTTTCAGTAATGAAAAGAACAAAGAAAATTTTTTATATGGAAAGTTTTCATCTATAGAGGTGAAAAAACATTAATGTTACAGAACAGTATGAAGGAAAAATATGAAATGTGTTTATGGGTTTAGGAAAATTATAAAGAATATAGATTAGACTGGCTTGGGAAAGGATCCGGGATAATACAAACTTTTAGGAGTGTGGGGCATTAAAAGTAAAGTAGAATAAAGTGTGGGTTTCATGAAGAGTTTTCTAAATTTGTGTATAAGGAACTAAATTGTGATTAGTGGTACAGATGAATGAAGATAATTGTCAGTTAGAGATAGGAAACTAACTCTTCAAGAATCAGAAGAGGCAGTGTCTGAAATATGATACAAGAATGATCTCTGGTAGGAGCTCTTCCCAACAGATTACAACATATTCATCTGAAGGATGATATGTTTGCGGAGGTCTGTAAACAGATGAAAAGAATCTGAATTGTGTTTCACATTAAATTGCAGTTAGGCCACTTTAGGGTGATGTATTAACTTGAAACTGCATTATTTGTAAAATATTTAATTCCATTTTCTATAGTATGTGTCACATATTCCTTTATGATACATAAATTGTATTACTCTCTTTTTAAGTAATATGTATATTTCATTTCATCTTATTGTCTGTGGACAGGTTTCATTGCAGCTGACATCAAAGGCACAGGCTCATGGACGCAGATGCTCCTGATCACGGACTACCATGAAAATGGCTCATTACATGACTACCTTCACACACATGTGCTAGATCCCTCATCTCTTCTGACCCTTGCTCTCTCTGCTGCAAGCGGAGTGGCACACCTCCATACTGAGATTTTTGGTACCCGAGGCAAACCAGCTATATCACATCGTGATATCAAGAGCAAAAATATCCTGGTAAAAAGAAATGGCCAGTGTGCCATTGCAGATTTTGGCCTAGCAGTGAGATATATCAGGTCAGTATTAAGGTTTATGATGGAAATGTTTGATTTTACTTTTTGTCTGTTGCTTCAAAATGAAAATACTGAACACTGAACAGCATGCTTAATAAAGATAAAATACAGATGTGCTGTAAGTTCATTGAACTTTCAGGAATAATCTAGTAATCTGTGCTCAAATTATGGCTGGGTATTGGCACATAAATTGTTATTGGTGCCTGGTTCTCATGTATTAGCATATGTTGTAATTAATTGGTAATGATTTTTCATCTCTCATCATATAATCCAAAAAGGATGTATATATCATATTGATCTAAAGTCACTGCTGTTTTTTTTTTTCCTTCCCCCCCATATTGTCAATCCAATTAGTTTTGGCACTTAAATGCAAGGATTGAATACAGTTATACAATATATAATCATGAACCACCAGCTGATGTGCATAGAAAGTATGTTTTATTTACTTTTTGTTTTTATTAACATGACTCTGCTGATATTTTCATTATAGTCTCTTTATTGCTGCTAAGTACACTATTTTTTGTCATTTCAGTGAAAGCAATGAGATTGACATTGCACCCAACACACGTGTTGGGACTCGACGATACATGGCACCTGAGGTGCTTGATGAGTCGCTAAACACATCTGCATTTGAATCATTCAAGATGGCTGACATGTACTCTCTTGGCCTGGTGTTCTGGGAAATGGGCTGCCGGTGTGTGACTGGGAACAAACTTAGTGCAGCTGACGATTATCAACTCCCATACTATAACTGTGTTCCCAGTGACCCTTCCTTTGAAGACATGCATGAAGTAGTGTGTATCAAGAGGATCCGCCCACACATCCCTCCAAGATGGGAATCAGAGGAGGTAAAAGAATCATTATTCTGCTAAAACTTTATCTGCTGCTGTTTGATGCTTGCTAATTTATATTTAACATGGCCATACCATTAATAACCTTCCCAGACAGTCACTTGGTTATCTGTGATGTCATGCTGCTCCTGATAGCAGTGACCTCCAGTTATTTTGATATAGAACCTCATGGTCTCACTTAAAGAATGTATAAGCACCCATGAGATTCTGCTACTTCAGATGTGAGGAAGAAATTTTTCTAATGCTTTAACATTTGATTTCAGGTTCTGAGGACGTTGGCAAAAGTTATGCAAAAAACCAAACCCAGCAGTGAGACTGACAGCACTCAGAGTAAAGAAGACGTTATGTAAATTGGATGCAGATAATACAGTAAAAATTGTCTAACACCAGTGAAAGTAATGTAGGGAATGTGCAAGCAAGATTTTTCACAGACTGCAACTAAGACTTCAGCAAGTGAAAAGTATTGTATCATCTTGTATAAAGTGAAGCTTTCGCGGCGACAAAAGTTGAAAGAAAGGCTCTCGGGCTACAAGCTGCATCAGGTGGCTGGATGGTGAATACACCATGTCCTGTGCCAACATTTCGAGAGCCATCTCTGCTCTCATCCTCAGGGCAGCTGCGTAACAAACTGGTCGTCTGTAGCACACTCACCGATGGAAATTGGCAATGAATGGCAGGTAGTAGCATGGTGTTGCTGGTGGCCCGTCTGTTGCTTTGTTTGACGCTGACCAATAGAAACTAGCAGTTGAGGTCAAGTGCAAACTCTCGCAGACTTCTCAGGTTGTTCAAGACGGCACCATGCTACTACTTGCTGTCCATTGCCAGTTCCCATCAGAAAGCACTCTACAGAAGAACAGTTTGTTACGCAGCTGCCCTGAGGATGAGAGAAGAGATTGCTCTCGAAACGTTGGCACAGAATATGGTGTATTCACCACTCAACTGCCTGATGCAGCTTGTAGCCCAATTGTCTTTCATCAATTATTGTATCATCTTATTCAAGCAAGTGAAAATATTCTTTAAGAATATCAGAATGCCTAATGTCATTGTACAGTAGTGTTAACAATGAATGGAATTGTGAACAAGTACATGTTAACGCATTGACCAGTCTTACATGTGCAGGAAGACGTGTTATGGCTGACAGCCATAAGATTGAAGTGGTTTGTGTTCAGTTTTACATAATAGTGTACAGGAAATGTGCAGTGAAATTTTGGTTTTTAGCCTAATGTATACATTACAAATGTGTGTGAAGAACAAGAAAAATTTTGGTGGCCTTGGTAACTGTTAACTGTGTGACATTGGTATGTGATCATTTTTGTTCACTAAATGATACAAATTTTTTTGACACATTGTACATAAGATCAAAAATAATAGGTGCATAACTTATGTTAATCCTTTGATCTCTTACTTTATTTGCAGTGACTTTTTAAAACCTGTGTGTACATTTTGGGGATGCTTCAACCCTATGAGGTTGAAACTACATACATTCACATGTTCTTCAAATATCAGCACAGAAAATTGTTTGATATTAGCAACAAGTAAAATTCTATCATAGGAGTCATGGGTATGACCAAAAACATCCTATTTCCTATCTCCTTAATTTAAAGTTGGCCACCTTGTTAAAGGGTGGCTTTTTGTTGAGCTGTAGTATATGACATGTATTTCGATTTAATGTTTTTTACAAAATCTTACGTTCTAAAAGCTTAACATTACCTTATGTACTCAACATATCTCTCATTTGGTGGTGATGTAGTTAAAGAACATTTTCCAAAAGTTTTATGCAGTGGGAAAATACCTGTAGCACATCTATCATTCTTAATTCATTTGGACAGACATGTGCAAAAGGTATTTGGTTTATTTTGCATATCTCTTTGGTATTAGAACCCAAAAGTTTATCATTACTGATAAAGTATCTGCCACATACCAAACCATAGATATAAATTTTAAAATCTACCCCCACCCCACCCACATTTTTGTTTCAGCCTTCCAAATATTATTCCCTTTTTTCCCCATATGACATACATTCTGATATCATTACAACCTTCTACACACAGAATTTCATATTGCGATAAAATTGTACATAAAGTGCGACGGCTATAATATATTCATTACCTTCCCCCATTTTTCGAAGGTCAATATGATCAGTGCTGTCTTAAGGTGCAATGACCACACTTCAATTCTTTCATTCCAAGTAGCCCTCCATGTATTCATTTCTATGGTTTCACGTCGCAGTGATATCGTTCTACAGTAGCTTGTAGCCTTCCTCAAGAAAATATAGTTTAAAACCGAATTACAAATTGATTGTTGAATCACAGTGAAGATTGTTTTATTAAATTAAAACGGACAACAAGGTTTAAGTCTAATTTTCAAATTGTATATATAATAGGATATGTACACTGTCGAGAAAAGTGCGGCTTATCACAATATCTGCTATATGGTATCATTCCGCCCTCTTATGACGCACTGGGAGTTTGTGGTTTGCGGTCTGTTAAGCGCGGCGTAGAAACATAATTTTTAGCGAAATTTCGCTTTATTGTGAACAGGTAAGTGATTGAGAGTTTTTTTGGAACACTGTGTTAGTTAGCGGTATAATCGTACTGAGACATAACATTATACTTTATTTGCAAATTTAAGTATTTTGGATTGGGTTACAATTCATCGATCCGTTCAAGAATGTTGCAAGGACTATTTGTTGAAATGTTTGTGCACAGATATTTGTATTTGTTTCTCTATAAAATGTTTATGTGCACAGTACTGAGCAAGCAAAAGTTTAGTACGTGACAGGATCACCCAAACTTAAGGGTAGTCTTATTGAAAAGGATGAGGTCGTATTTCGTAATGGCGGAAAACGCCATTCTTAGCATGTTTATTGAATAGTCGGCACATGACTTTCACGCTCATAGGAAAGTTCTCTGTAAGTTTACTGATCATATATCCAGCTTTGGAAAGTTTTCAGTAATGGAGTATAGCTTTGTAGTCGAGAGGTAAAGGCAGTTCCATTGCAGTAAAGTTCTATAAAATTTCATGAACTATGAAGTGCGAACTCAGTTTCATTGTCATATCTTCCGTTGCGTCTGCGAGTAGCTCGGTCAGTTTGGCATAGTATATGTTGAATAATGTTTTTGAACGTGTGCATGAATTCAGACGAACGCAAAGTTCTTGTTTATTAGTGAAGTTTATGTATTTAAGGCCCAAAAATTGACAACATTTGAGTGGTGGAATGGACAAAAGCTACATAACCCTACCAGGTGTGCCTTTGTATGAAGTAGCATGCCATGACCAAAGGGCCAAATTTCAAACATTTTTTAAGATGGAAACTGTTCTTTATTATGAACTTGGTCAGGTCTTTTATCCCTATGGGTAAGAGAAATCTCATTTTTGCTGATACTGTTTGTTTTTGCTGGTTTATACTTATGTTCTGACCTGCAAAGCAGTGTGGGTATATATTTTATGTTCTTAGAATTTTTGGGTAACTTTTTTAATTTAACCAAATTAATTTTGAACAAACATATGTTAAAACCTTGCATACTGTGCAGTGTATAGATATATAAAGTTATGTGTACAAACAAAACTGTTTACACATTAATGTGTAAACAGTTTTGTTTGTATGCATGATTTTATAAAACTTACATGTCAGTCTCATTAATTTACAAATTTTTCACGTGAAATTTATGGGTAAGAATTTCAAGAAAATAATCTGTTTTACCTAGGAGGTATAAGATTTTTCCAGTTATGCAGGTAGGAAGGTGTGTGTTTCATGTAGGTAGTCCTTTCCTGAATTATATGTTATAGAGTAAAATAGGACAAAAATGTGGCATGTGCATAGGAAAAATGGTTGAGTGAAAATTGTCTTTGTACATGAACAGTAACAGTAGTTGTTTGTTGCATTAATGTATTTATTTTGAATAACTATTTTGCTTTGTTCTCATCAGGGTTTAGATTTGGAATTTGGTGTGTGTGTTATTGCATCATGCCTGGCTTCAGTAGTGTGGGCACATTTAAAATCTTCATTGGCAATTTGGCTGACAAAACTACAACTGCTGACATCAAACCATTGTTTGAAAAGTATGGGAAGGTTGTGGAATGTGATGTTGTTAAGAATTATGGGTTTGTGGTAAGTAATACATTTATACAAATCTTCATTCATTGCTGAATCATTCTACTTAGCTCTGTATATTGATATAGTTCATGATCATAATTTAATTAAGTCTTACAAAATCTGAATCTGCCAGAAAGATATGATTTCAATACAGACGATGAACATGTTTTGAAAACTTATAATATTTTGTAACAGTAATTTGTATGCCTCAAAATGTTATGTCTGTTAGACACTTGCTCATAGCTTTGTAAATTATTATTTATGTGTGTGGATTACATTTATGTTTTAATTAAACTGATCCTGAATTGTTCTCTGTCCCAGAGTAAAATGTTATTGTAAAACTATACATATTGTTTTCTATCTTTTAATCTGCTGGTACCAAAGAAATTAAGGATTATGCAACAACCTCTGGGCCGTAGATATTTTTAAGAACAAATGATCATAGAATTGATTTTTTTGTGGTATAATTGTGGCAGATTATGTTGGACCATAATTTGTAGTTCATTAACAGAAAACTGTTAGAATGAAGAGAAATTGACTGTTGTGTATAGTCTTTCAGCAGTAAAATGTTTATTTAGATATTCCTTTAAAAATACTTAAGTGGTTGAAAATTGTTAATCCTGTGGTTTTATAGTTCTCTGATAGTAGTGTGTTATATTTAATGTGTAAAATTGTTCTTTTGGACTTGTCCATCATCTAAATTGTAAAATTATAAATTCATAAAATCATGTTTCAGAAGCTGGATTCTGCATTCATCAGATAAAAAAAGGAAAAGAGGACAGAAAACCATTGTTTTGCCCCTGGTTGAGCTAGCCTCAGACCTGGACTGACCAGGTCTGAGTTTAGCTGAATCATGGTAAAGTGGAATGCAATATGTTATACTGTACTTTATTAATTTAATTGAATTATCTTACTACTTAAAACTGTTTACCTTATGTATTTAAGTGCATATTTTAGTTCACATGCAGCATTAATGAATTTTAACTTTCTAGCATATGGAACATGAAGAGGCTGGTAGAGATGCCATTCAGAATTTGAATGGTTATTTGGTCCATAACCAAGCAATTAAAGTTGAGGCTGCCACAAGTCGCAAAGGACCCCAGACACCTACAACAAAGATATTTGTTGGAAATCTTACTGATAATACAAAAGCTCCACAAGTACGGGCTCTGTTTGCCAAGTATGGCACAGTCCTGGAATGTGACATAGTCAGAAATTATGGTTTTGTGGTAAGTGTTTTGAATACCAAAGTGCTTACAGAATTAACTATGAGGTTGTTCAGAGCTGTGACATCTGCTGAAAGTGTACTGTCGGTTTAGTGTGTGTGAGTTGTGTCTGTATAATATAGTAGTGGTCCATCAGTTAACAGTAATTGGTTTCATGAAAACTACCTGTAATTGAATATAGGAAATACATGCTCGCTGTTTCCACAAATTGTGCACATCAAACACTGAAAGGCAAACCAGCTAACCTCCAAATGCTCATAAAAGGTGTCACTAATTGGCTGAGGCCTGCTAAGTGCTCAGACTGGCCGAAATTGGGGGCCATGTGGTATAAACATATCGCTAATAAAATTTTATATCTAATGGAAGCATTGTGAACCTATGGAGACAGATCATTAATCAGTGGCATCTTAAACTTAAGGATTATTATGCAAAGGAAGTGCATTGGGTTTACATCTTAAAAGCAGAACACTATAGTAGATGATTTTAGGCTTGCTTATCATTTTAGTATTACTGTGGGTCATGTTTCTGAGTGATGGTCCATGTAGATGAAATAGACTATTGTAGTTATATGGGGATATGTTTTGTGTATAGACTACATGATATCACCAAGAAATATGATCTTCATTACTTTTTTTGTTATCATGAAGCAGTATTGCAGGGAAGTTTTCAGAAGAGAAGCACAGTTAAACACTCATTTTCCTGGGTGTCATAATGTTCAACTTCATTTCATTGACAGCATATTGAGTCAAGTGATGCAGTGAATGATGCAATAAAGGAGTTGAATGGTTTTGTTGTTGATGGACAACCAATGAAGGTCCAGGTTTCTACAAGCAGAGTACGTCAAAGACCAGGAATGGGAGACCCAGAACAATGCTACAGGTACAGGGGATTGTAATAGCATGATATTGTAACTTTCTCATTTTAGAAGGTTTAATGATTTTTGCAGTACAGCAGTCTTTAATGAATGATTACATTTGTTATCTGCATATATAAGGCTGAAATCAGCATAGAATGTGTTTCCATTTTGTATTATTGTTTTTGTGCCTGGATCCTTTCCCTCCTCCCTCTTATTTGAAAACTATGTATTTCCTGTTATATCAACTGCCAGTTGTGTGTGTTCAGATTGTTGGGAAAACCCATGCTTTTCTTCTTTATTTTTGCATATTTCTCTCTTCAGTTTTTTTTAAAGAAACTAATTTTTATGTCCCTTATACCAAAATAACTTCATGAAAGGTTTTTGTGTTGTTTCTGGTATTGCAGTTTTAGTATGTTCATTCACATTTATGTGAAAATGGGAATTTTTTGTTTCAGGTGTGGGCGAGGTGGACATTGGTCAAAGGAATGCCCGAAGACGGGGTGAGTACAGATGTTTTGAAATTGTATTTATTAATAAGTTTTACTTTTTATTTGTGTACAATTTTTCTCATGTGTTTCTAGGATGGGTCCTGACAGGAATGGGTTTAGGGACCGTATGTTTGGACGTGAACCATATCCTCCTCCTCCACCACCTCCGTTCCTGCGTGACCGCATGATGGGACGATTTGGTGTGAGGGTAAGTCTGCAGCATGAAGAATATTCATGATGCAATAGTAGCAATATCCAGTAAAGTTAGTGCAGACAGTGTTTTTAGTTTCATATATTACTATTTGGATATATGGTCTTGACAGGATAGTTTCTATGATGGCTACTATGACCGCAATCGATTTGATGAGTCTCGAGAAATCTTTGATCGTCGCTTCCCTCCACTTCCTCCCCGTGATCTTGGACCATCTCTACGAGGACGTGACTTTTTGCCACCACCGCCTCTTCCCCCAAGGCCGCGTGATCCTCTGCCTCCACCACCACCCTTGGGACTTCGAGGACCATCCAGTTCATTGAGAGATACACCATCATTTGACCGTGGCAGTTCTGACTATGGCATATTCAGTCGCCGCTCACCATCAGCTTCAGCGGCACCACCAAACCGATTCAGGTGACCACCATATTGTCCATATTCCTTGTAGTTGCCAAATATAATTTATACATGCAGAGTTGCTTGCTTAAGACTTGCATGTTATCGCGAACCTATTGTGTTTCAAGGGAGAGTGATATCTTCTTTGAGCTGTGCCATTCTCATATAACAGTGAAGAGCCACACCGGAAGCTAATTTTGATTTGTATGTCCATTATTTTCTAGTCGGCTGTATGAGGATTTCAGTCGTGACAGTTTTGATGACAGGAGGTAAGTGAGTTTTGGGCTCATCATAATTTTTTTAACTTTTACTAAGTTGGGAAATTATTTATTTTGCATTTTTTCTTTTTGTCAGGGGTTGAAAGATTACTCATTCTCATTTTGAGAAGAAATGTTACAAAAATAATAATGACAGAAGATGTATTTGCTTTTGATTGATTCACATTTTGTGTTTGATAGTTTTCATGTAAGCCACGGCAAGATATTTCAGAAAGTGTTCATAGAAGTGAGTAGTAGAATTTGATACAGGTAAAATTGGGTCCTTTTTAATTGATGTTACAGCTTTGTTATAACTTGCATGTAATTTTAACAAATATAGTTTTAGATATTTTCAGATTCAGAAACTTTGATTGTGTTGACAGTTCAAATGCAGTTGGACTGTTATCAGTAATTTCCTAAATGTAACTAAATCATTCAACATGCCCTAGCCCTTTCACAGAACAAGTTTCGACAGTAATGTTCTCCTATGTGAATACCTCTTAACTTTACAGGCGTTATAATGGCAATGACAAAATTAATTTTGTTAAATGTTACATAGCAAACTTCACTGAAACTTGAGAACATTTGTGAAATTGCTTTTAAGATTTTGTAAACTAGTGTCTTCGATACTGTGTTTGCTAAATGCTGGATGTTTTGGAACTTTTTTCTTAGGTGCTTATTTGCTTCACTCTGGCTTGAATTAAGTACATTAAATGTGTATTTGTGATTCATGGAGCACTGTACAAACATTGATTTATCCATCTTTACCTCTAAATTTAATGATTGTTCTTAAGCTGTTATAGTCATGCTATGGAAACTTTGCGTATAATCATTTTAAGTTTACGGCACAGGTTCATTACCTAATATTCATGATATAAAATTGATATTGTGTCAACACATAAAAAAATTGTGGGTATATGTGATGATCAATTTGATGTTCGAGTCAGGTGAGTACATAAAGTTAACATGCATTTGTATTCAGTAAATTTTAATAAAATATAGAATTTGTTTTCTGCATTATTAATAATAGTTTCGGTATTTGAAATGTAAGACTTTATATAATTTCCCTTAATTTCACTTTACTTACATACTTGGTGTGATGAATTTCACTCTTGTGCTAGTTAAGGGGCAGTGTCACATCCGAGTAGAAGGTTGCAAATTTCTGATGTAAATAGGGTATATCCATTACAACGATCTCTTCAAATTTTGTCATACACACAGCAGGGCTGAAGAAAGTGAACGTTGATATTTCACTTGAAATTATTTTGGAAAGGATTTGTGGATCATTATGATTCCACTAGGAGTAGTATGTGAAATTTGGAAGCATTCTAGGATGAGTTATTGCAGTATTACCATGTTTTTTGGCTGATGATACTTCTCTGTAAGCGTCTTTTATAGGATTTCCCCATATATGGAAATTAATTTTACTTTTTTGCAGCACAGTTGCATTTAATTAAGTTTCAAACTGTGAATAAACTGAAAATTTCAATATAATTGCTGACTGTAGGTGAAGGTAAAGGTAGAATTCTTCCTGTACAGAAGCACATTCATACAAAGACTTTAACCTTGGCAGTAAGTGAATAACTTCATACTTTGCTCCTAGGATGAGTGCCTGAAATTATTTGATAGGGGGCTCAATGGGCCCCAAACTACCCAGTTTTATAAATTGCAGCTAAGTGTGCGTGTATCTGGAACTTTGTGATGGGTTAGGCTGAGAACTGCAAAGTGTCTTCATTTTGCATAGCTATAATTCAGTTGACTCTTGTGTTTTAGTTCTTTCATTTATCAGTGTCAGCTGAATTTATGCTTCTTTATGAAGGGGGTTCTTTGTTGTTCCTGTGGAAATGGTTTTTGAGCACACCCAGATAATTTCCTACAGTTAAAGAGTTTGCCATGTAAATACCATGTTATATCACTTTAACCTTTAAATGGCAAAGTGGTAGCAGCCCTACTGAGTTTTATTTTTTGGCAGGTATTTAAATTTTTGTGCGTGCTCTACGGAAAACTTTAATATTATCTAAAGTAAACATGATAAAATGACGAAATAAAGGCCATATTTATGCGAATACACAGTTTTTTTAAAAAATGCAGTTAATATCAGTGTCCAAAATAACTTCTGGTGTTTTTTCAGGCTTTAGTAACTTTACTTTCTTTTTTGGAAGCTCAGTCGACATGGTAGAAGCCATGGTTGTGAACTACTGACCACACAGAAAATGTTGTTTCCCTTTACTTCAGTGGATACACATTCTTTTCACCCATTATGCCCAGGAATGTGAGTAGCTTTGAATAGGGCGTCTGAAAATGAAACCGAAATCCACTTGACATAAACAAAGTTTATTGCTGTTTATAGTTTCCGGATTGACAGCTCAGGTTGAACTTGTTGGAACCCTAGAGAAAGTGATTCAACTTTTGAGTCCCTAAAAGAGGCCAAAAGACTTAGCCAAGTCTCCTTACAGTGTTGCAAGTATTTACGTTCCGCACAAGGAACGTTCATAGGGCTGAGTACTCAACTTACGTTCCCGACAAGGAACGCAAGTAGGATAAAGGTTAATTAAAAATGTACAGGTTATGTGTTGACTTAATGTCGGTACTTTAGTGTTTTATTCCTGAGGACATTCCAAGTCAGAAATGTTGTGTTTGATTCTCAGCTGTCGCAGAGGTATGGTCATTTGAAATTACCATGTAGAACATAGGTCTTTTTTTTACGTGCAACATTGAAACCTCAGTAATGTAGTTCCTTTTTTGTGTTTACTTTGTGTACATACACCATGTTTTTTTGTGTAACCCCATTCATGGAAGTTAACGGTAATGGAGGTCTGCTGACTGCATTGGCCAGTCCAATCAGGGAACTGCCCGTACAGATATTGTGCCACTTATTGACTGAAATGTGTCTAGATAAATGCTTCCTGATTATTCCAATGTTACGGCCCAACTCAGTTTACATGTGTTTGTGCACATAAGGAAGTATGTGGATTGATGTTCTTGCTGGATATAGCTTAATGCTATTGGAATGTAGTAAATTGAAATGGGTAATGCTGAACCCATTGCCTAGAAGGACACTAATTAATTGGTGTGCAGCTTACCACAAGCGTTTATAAAAAGTCTTTTGTGAATTTGAAGAATTGTGAGTATTTTTCAACCCCTGCTTTATGCCTCTTGCTGATTTTATTTCCAGGGTTGTGACTAGAGGACAGTTCTGTGTCCCTTTTTGCTGCTTTGATCTAGATGGCTTGTTATATCATGTGCATGATTGGCTAGGTTGCTCTTTATTTTGATTTGTTCATTATTATATTTGAATTAGTTTTTATAACTGCATGGTAAAATGTGGCATTTTGGCTGCTTTACAGGTAATTTTAGAGTTTATAATTTGCAGACTTCTGGATTCATATTGTTTCAGATATAGCCTTTCCTGTTAAGTTCGGTAATAAGCAGCCTCGCAAATTTGGCAGGAATGAGCTAATTGTGCCTTTGTTCTGTGTTAGACCGGCCGTGCGTGGAACAGCGTCCCCTCGTCGCTATGCACCGTATTAGATGCATTCATCCGTCGCAGTTTTATGCCGATCGGTAGCGTCGGCATCGGTCGGGTGAATTGTTCGCTCGTGCGGGAAGCCTCGGGCCGAATGAACGGGAAGACGGGACAGGCATCCGTGTAGCGGACTTCCTCTCTCTTGAATTCCTTCACAAGTTCGTCTCCTTTCGTGTTAATTAAGCATGGTACATGGTCATATTCCAGATATCAATATCTTTATTGTAAGTTTCAGTTTAGCTGCAGCAATTGTAGTGTGCTGTATTTTTCAAATACATCTCGGTGACATTAGATTCCATTGTGAATGTTACTATACTGATAATGATTCGAAAGTGATTGTTGGCTGCAAAGTGACAAGATGAAGATGTAATTGTTTTCTTTTTTATCTAACCAACAGGCCATCATTATTTCGGCATTATCGAGTCACTGACTTTGGCTGTTTCTTAGGTTTCTCGTAGCAAAATAAGTCTTAAATTCTGTAACTTTTTCGTGTGTTATCAATATACATTATATGTGTACTGTGTATTTATGGATTGGTTTTGCGGTAAACCTCGCACGTTTCCTCGTTCCCCATTTTTTGCCTTCCAATGTCGCAGCTCATGGGAAAAAAAATTTTACATCATCACTTCGTCTCCGTCCATTGATTCTTCAGTGTTTGAAGATGTGCCCAGTATCAGCCGAAGTAGGAACCTGAAAAGGTAGGGATTGGAATGCACCGTGGGCCACATTGAGTGCAACCGTGGCCTGTTCGCGGAGCGGTAGGTACAGTACTGGTTGGTTGATCCAGGGCCCAATCACTCGTGCCCATCGCGAAGTTGGCCTCCTATATGGCCAAGAAAGGCTTCCCGTCGTGTTTATCATCCCTTCGGTCGGAAATGCGTCGCGGAACTTTTCGTGATGGAACAGGTAACTACAGAACATGGCCATCTACAGTGCTCTTGTATGATAGATGTTAAGATGTAAGGAATTTTCACTTCTGCAATAAAATGACAATCCAACCCTTGTTTTATATTAGTTATTTTCAGGAAATGGAGGAACAATGAAGTTTCTTGCTGTGACCAGTTGTTTTTCTGCTTATGATTGGGGAGTGCATGAAATTTCGAGAGAGATGATTGTATGTGACTTGTGACAGTTAAGGTTTAAAATATGGTACAGTTTTGCAGTTTTGCTTCTGTAATATTGTTTGTTGTTTAATTAACATCTGTGCTGTATCTTTTCTGATAAATTCTAATCATTAATATCCATTATGTTACTAGAAAACCGTCTGCTGGTGGCTTGTAATGTGTGATGGAAAGATACAACTTGGATTCAAAACTGATGATTGTTATTAATATTATGTTTGCATTGTGTTTTCTGCTTTTCCAAGTCGGAGGTGGTTCTATTTAATTTCGTTATCTGTAATGCGGGTATGGGATGTGAGATTGCTCGGTAAATTTCCGGCTGTTTAACAATGCCAAGGATAAGACCTGTGGCGATGAGTGATTTGGGTTGGGGGAGGCAGGGGGCAGGGTACGTTTGTTCAGAACATCTGACGATCTCTCATCACTGCGCTTGCTGGTGGTAGTGGAACGGCAGTCCTTCCCGTTTGCTGCGTGTGACGGCTGCGAACGCAAGTGAAGATTCATTCATGCTGCCACGTTGGAGGGAGTAGGGTGAGCCGTGATCCTTTCGGATGTTCCATATTGTAGTCGTGTTAACTGCATTTAGATCTGTTTTCTAAGTACGTTTCGGGATGACTTCGCGTCAAAGGGACGACTACGTTTTGTGATTGTGCATATCGCTGTATAGGAAGTTGGAATTTTTCGTAATGCAGAGGAAAACAATTCTGATGACCACGGTGTCTTGTGTTGGAGTAATTGCCCAACAGCTGTGTGCGAATCTATCAAATATAAAGTGGAGTTTGCAATTTGTTCAGGGTATCTTGTAAAATTTGGATGTGTTAAATGCTTTTCCGCAGATTTTTGGTGTTTTCTTTTTTTCTGTGATGGGCTGCTTAGGCAGGGTGTAAACTAACGGAAGAAAGTCCTACATGAAGGATGTTACCATTTACGCCGACCACTGCAGCGAAGTTCGATTTAATTGTGCCAAAATCTTTATACGTTGAATTGCCATGGAACTATGTACCCATTTTCAGTTGGCATATATATTCGGGTCCCTCGATAGCGCGAATTCCTCCTGACTGCGTTCTACCTACGAAAAGGGAAGGATCCCGGTGCCCATTGGTTTTGAGAGGGGACTTGGTGGGCCCCGGAGCCGGTCTGGTTGCTCGTTTAGCACGAGATTTGTTTGTAAGAAGTCGGAAACTATGATACTCGTTAGGAGTTGGTGCACCCACTAGTCTTAAAAAGCGAAATAATTCGTAATGTGATAGGATTGGAGGGTCTAATTTTGGTACGAGTGCTTCATGATGTAGTGAACCACGGTCGCTGGTTTGGAAAGCATTAACGGAAAGTCGCGAACATCTGGGTTGTCACACTGATGTGTAGGTAGTTCGTGTCCGTGATAATATATGCGTTGTTTGGTAACGTGCTTATCGTGAATTTTGTCATGAAAGGGACAGGTGTCTCATTAGCATACGTTCCTCGACATTAAAAGCGACTTCTCGTATGTAATAAGCAGAAACGCTGTTTTACCTGGGAATCGGTGAGAAATGCACTCCAAGCTTAGTTTTGAACTAAAGTACTTGGTGCTCACATTAATTAGTTGTGACTGGGAAACTTCTTGTGCCATTGAATTAATCGTAGTAATGATAAAGCGTATGGAATTAATTAAATGTGCTGTGCATATAGATTTGAAGAATAAAATTACATGTGTGGATTATATCCAGCTGTAGTCGTTACCCTTGTGCATTCGCCCTGTTTTCTATAGTGAAGTTTAACTCGTGAGTTGATGTTCTGGGCCTGTGCGCAAATGGTTATACGGTCAAATCTCTCTCAGTGACTTTCGTAGTGTCGCAACACTATTTTATTTATAACTGGTAGGTATGGTCTTGGTATATCGCCATACTAAATTTAATCATTCTTTATGGTTTTCGTTGTAAAATCGAAAGTGGAAGTTTTTCCACAGCCATTGCTTTTACGTTCTGCAAGAAAAATGCATGATAAAAGTTGCATATTTTTCAATTTGTTACCGTCAAATCATTTCGGGACCCAAGTAAGTGGCTCCAGTGTCGTTTACATTTAAACAAGTTCAGTGCCCGTTGTGTTATTATCCGGTATGGAAAAGTAAAACTACGAGGTTTGTGTTATCTAGTGGCGTAACTTTCGTACGGAACTTTAATCGATCCTTTCAGAGGTTTTCGAGTTGAAACGTATGATTTTATTTTATAATCCTACACGTGCAAAGTGCACTTAAGACCATCGTTATAAAGAATCGTCTGTTGACAAAGTCCAAGACATCGATAGCATTTAGGCCTTAAGGTTTTTTGCATGGTTTCAGAAATATCGGACCTATTAATGAACACGGTAATGAATCTTCAGGTTTCATGAAGAGTGGGGAATTTCTTGGTCAACTTCTTTAGAAAAAATAACCTGTACTATTGAAAAATATACAATAAAGCGAGATCTGTCCTTTTCTGGGTTGGCATATCTTATCAAAAAATGTTGTTTCAGTCTGGCATTGTGAAACATTCACGTTTGAAATTGAGCTGCTTGTAATGTGGTGTCTGGGATGCTGCCCTTGTTGGAAAGGGTCAGAAAAACCAGAGCTTGAAGACTCGGGACTTCTGACTAGCCCACAGTGGCAGTCAGGCGGAGATGTGAACAAAACGCAGTATTACACTGTCCACAAGATTTCAAGGTAGGTGAAGTATTCTTTGGGGGCCTGTTGATATAAATGTTGTTTCTGTGTGTGCCTTCGATGTAGTTAGTTATTTCTTCAGTTCTGAAAGGATTTTATCCTCGTTTTCTCGTTAGTTTTGGACGCACAGGTTCTGGGGAAGATGTTAGTGACACCAGTCGAGAGCAAGGAGATCAAGGCATACAGTCTCCAGCAGAATTTTGGACTGCAAAGATTCAGAGGGCGCAGCCAGGTATGAAGATATAATAAGAATTTTTCAGGGCGAATAGCCCCTTCGCACACAACCCAGTCCCTATCGTACAAAATGTAGAACATTTTATTCGTTTATGTACGTAATGGGCCCCCTAAGACGGAATTGGTTGTAATACACAAATATTTGTGATAAGTCGTACATTGATATTTATGGTGTTCATATTGTAATGCATGTTGCTGGTAAGGTTTGGCTGATTTGGTTTTAAATTGGTGTTCGTTTAAGTGCCTTCGCATGAGGTGGGCTGAACTGTTTTACAAATTACGTAATTTAACATTTGATAAATGTCGGTACTGCATTATGCATATTAAATAAAGGGTTCGCTTTGAGAAACTACTGATGGATGAAATGAATCGATAATTTGTATAATTGTTGTACTCGTAACTTGGGATACTGTGAGAATAATTAACTGTATGTTCCACCTTTGTAATTAAAACTTGGGGTGGTGAGTTGGAACCGAGCACTCTGTATGTTGGTTATCTAGATAATATGTCCACGCAGTTGTAGGGAATGCGTCTAGGTGAAGGGGGTACGATATCTAATCTGAGAGGAAACGGCTGTTTAAAATTGATCATTCGAACACGGTTGCCATTTCCATAAATTCTTAGCAGCCAGAAATACGCTTCCAGAGGTTACCTGAAAGAATTACAGATGTCTTTTTTGCCACCATAGTTTTAAGCCTACTGTAGTTCACGTGTTTAAATCCCGCATCTACAGTGCGTAGTTCCTTATGTTCATTACCAGGGCAGTCCACGTGGAAATAGTGTATTTAGGTATTACCCTGAAAGTCGTTTCAAAAAATCGGCGCACTCCTATGCCAGCTGTCTAAGGTGTGTGATAAGCATTAGCATACAACCTCGGCCCTTTGCTGGGGCTTAAATTCCAGATCGGGTACTTCTCCGAATTCATAGAAAGGTTATCCGGTTTTTTGGAATGGAAACAAGTAATGTTCTTACACGCTGGCTTTGGTTAATTGAAGGTCTGGTGTTTCGTTACAGAAAAGATGCACGCCAGTCAGATAACCGACTTGTTTGTATCTCGTTTATTAAACATTATAGTTCGAAGGAACTGTAATCCATTTTATAAAATGTTAAAATAATGAATTGTGTACATTAAAATCGTAGTGAAGTATGACAGTGTTTTGGGTTTCGTCATCATGAAGACTTTTAGGTCGGAGGAAAATCGCGGTAGTGCATACGCACATTCATACATACACTCGTATATAGACACTCTTTTGTAACGAGGTGAGCCTCTTCGTAGTTTCCAACATACCTGTCTTTGTGATACAATGATACATTCTCAGCAAGTTGCTGAAACATTTCTCTAGAATAACTTTTAACAGCTCTCCAGGAACCTGCTGCGGATGTTACATAAGTTGACCTTGCCGCTAGTGAATAGACTTCGTTGAAAGAAAGAAAAAGAAAAAGAAGGAAGATGTGAATGTTTAAATACATGTTTAGACTTGTCATCCATTCACGCCACCCACCCCCGGATTTTAAAATCTTCACTGTGCAATTTTGATGTGTCGCAGAGTTTTCTTATGTATAAAAAGGCGCTGGCACCGAGCCGTGATTTTTAAGTTTAAAGAGACATTCTGTTTCATGTCTGAAAGCTACCAACACGTCTGCGTCGCGATTTTGTATATTCCTTATTTGAAATTTGTTATTCCGTTATTTTAAGTGCGTTCCAGGGCCCAAAATACGCAACCCCTTGTGATCGAAGACGGCTGTCTTGTGCGTTGTTGCGCCGTGTACCGTGATGATGAAGTCAGCAAGGACCTCTGAAATGTCTGTAAACTACCAGACACAGCGCTACAACCCATAAGACAGCCAACTTCAGACTCTCCGCCGTGAAAACCTCAAATCCTACATATTTCGATCGATCTCTGTGGTGGATATACACCAAATGTGGGCGAGCTGAATGTTAGTTTAGATCGTTGAAGGGCAAAAGTGAACAATTTGGTTGTTTCTAAACATTGCCTGCGACAAAGTTACAAGTATCCTAAAGTAACGTGCGTGTTTTATTTGCATGGAACTCGATAAAATTGCTAATAAACGATTATTTTATGTACACCATCAAAAGCGTTGACTGTATTGCTGCTACATTCTTAATGAATTAGTCGCTCATTTTACAACGCACTGCAGCATACAGCAGGTAGATATGCGTAAATGAGTTTCGCCTTTTTAATGGTATTTCAGAAGTGTATTTATCGTTCTTGTTTAGTACCAGATTCCAATTTTTGTGTTTAATGAAATGAGGTGGTCGAACTGTGTACCTTGTGTGTGCTGCCAGGAGAATGCCCTATGTATTTATGCTTGCGATACCAAAATAGAATTTTCAGGACACTTCTGATGCAAATTTATTGATTGCATCAAATGATCTGCGAATTACTACAGTCCAAATGTCCGTCTTTACAATCTCACCACTGCTACAACTATGATACCATGTAGGAGGTTTGTACTTAATCCTGTCATGACAGACTATGCATCTGTAGGTGGACCAATGACATTTAATCATCTTTTGTGAGCATAAATGGTCTAATGGTACCCAGGTTATTTTACGGCTATAAAAAAGTAAATGTAAAGCTGTCTCACTATATGCCATCTAGGTGGTTGGGGGGAGAAGATGTATAGCTCTTACTCATTCTTAACCTCAGCACTAGGTGGAGGTGAGTGGTTAGTGCTTAACCCCTGGGAAAGGACCCCGGTACCCATTGGATAGCAGAAGATCCATTAAGTCTGCCACTGCTGGTGACAGTGTAGCTTATAAACTTCATTTTGACCTATATCTCTTTGTTGCTGCCTTTTATATACACTATTACTGGAGGTCAATGTCAGATATTGATATATCTTTGTTGCTTTAAGTAATAGCTAATTATGTGGAAGGAACATTTAATTTGTTTCACAATCACTGAATTTCATTGTGATACAACACTTGTGAAAGTATGTGAAAGTAATCTTCCAGATGTCACAGATGATGACTACTGTGGGAACTCTGTTGAAACCACTGTAAGTCCTCGACCCCTATGGAAGCCACAACTACCACAAGGTCGTTGGCGAAGAGCGTTACATCCATTCAGATCTCGGAAGGAGCGTAACAAGAGCAGAGAGCATACTGAAGCTGCTGACCTGGGCCCACCGTCCATTACTGTGTCTTCCCCAGACCTTGTCAGTTTCACATCTTTGGAATTCTACTAAGTATCAGATAATAGCATATGTATTATTAGAAAAATAAGGAGAGTAATCTTTCAGAACTCTTAACTTAAAAAAGTTTAAGTAAAGTTTGAAGATTTTCTTATGATGGTGCATTACATTGTGTTACATTCTTTTTTCAACTCTGCCCATCATCTAAATGTTAGAAAATTACATTTTGAAAAATGGATTCTACTTCCATCATCATGTAAAAAGGACTAAAAGACCTATCTTGGCTGAGGTAGTTTTGAGACTAGCTCAGCCAGGGGACCCAACAGGTGTTTGTATTCTTTTTTACCTGGTAATGGCAGTAGAATCCAATTTCCAAAACATTGTAATTTTATAATACTTGGATGATGGGCTAAGTACAAAAGCACAGTTGGGCACAAAGCAGTTTTCTAATTTGAGAAACTCATATCCCTGACATGGTGAATGTGAGGAATGCCAGATGATCCATCATGATCTGAGCCCACATTAAGCTGCTCTACCACTCACCTGCATCTAGTCTAGAATGCCTAAAGCTTTATTTTTATGCCTCTTGTATGCTCTCATGATCTGTTGCTTAGGTGTAGGGATAACTTTTTCTTTGCCTTCACATTTCACCAGAAAACTATTAATATACTTATTATTTGAATAACTGTATTTTACTATGTTTGGAACTGCAGTTCACATTTAAATTTACTGTGTTCTATTATGCTATGCATGATAAAGAGTAAAACTCGAAAATCAGGAAGACGATTCTCATGCTTTTAATACAGAGTAAAAAATTGTAATGCCTGTAGTAAGACAAAACCTCAAGAGGTGAGATGCATTGGGTGGTAAAAGAAGGTGTGTTAGCACATTGCTCACAACACAATCTAAGATGACTTCTATAAGGGTCAGTAGGTCATATAGTGAGAGAAATATATAATCACTGGCTGAAATTGTGTCCCCACAGGAATACTATAATCATTTCATGTTATATCATTGTTAATTCTAATATATAAGTCCTTACACTCATAATATTATAAAAAAATAGAATATTATCACCAGACAGTAGAGATAGGGTAAGTGTTTGACACAAGAAGTAGTCATTGTTATTTCCTTCTTACAGTCAGGAAGTTATATGACCAGATATGGTAATGTGACATGTACTTGTTTTGAATAAAGTTTCTGTCCCTTAGTTTTTATGCAGTAATTTTACAATATAGTGAGTTGGCCTCAGCTATTTGACCCACTGTGCCATCAGTTTCAGTTCCTCTGTTGAAAGTCTGATTATTGCTCAGGCCTGGATATTTGTGCATAATTTTGTCTCCATTATATATATTCACAGAATTCTGCCATGAGGCCTAGTATCAAGAGAAAATATTTTGAAGTAATCATTGCCATACCCCTTCATGTAGTTAGTTTCTGAAAATGAGGTGGGCTCCAATTGGTTGAGAATCGTAGTATTAGGTCATAGGCATTCATATTATCTTTCCAAAAGCCAATTTACTGACAGAAACTACATTCTAAATTACACATTATGAACTTCTTCTGTCCCTTTCCCTTTTATAAGTAAATTTTTAAACAATTTGTGGTTCTTTGTGGGGAAGTGTGGTGCAACATCTGTATCACTGGTTTTACACTTTTTCTAGTATTGAAACAGACTTGTGCACCCTCAAGTAGACAATGCGACACTGGTAGAATAGTCCAGTGAATTGCTGCTCTAGTAGATAATATTACTTTGATACAGCTGGGGGATGGAACACAAGATAAGGGGATCTCACCTCATCCTGGCCCTCTTTTGCGACATGCTGGAACAATGACCAACGTGAGCTCCTTCACCGAATTGCGGCACCAAGTTACATGGCGCAAATCACAGAGTATGCAGGTACACTTTGCCAGTTTTTAACCATCATCACTGAACAGGACATATTGTTTATGAATTGTATTGATAATTTATTGTGCCATTTTGAAATTTCTAACCTACCCAGGCAATTATTAGTGTATACATTTTGGTCATTGCTTGTGTGTTGTCAGTTGTGTATTGTACACTGCTTTGAAAAAGAAATTTGTCTTGTGGTTACTGCATAGATGTCACTCTTGCCCTCCATTCTCCATTTAATTGCTACAGCATGTTGGGTCTATGGTGGTTGAAACTGTTGGGAACACAGGTATTTTACATCCTCTGTTGTTCATTACACCATTATTCACTTCCTGGAAAATAAAATAATTTCTGTTCTTTTGAGATCAATGGGCATAATCCTAATTTAGGCCCTTGTTAATGGTACAAAGAAGAAACTCCTCTTGATGAAATCATCAATTTTAAAATGCAAAACTCAGCCCTAAGTGCCACAATTAAAGGTTAGAAGATGACAGATCCGTCTGTGCTGAAAAGTTTTGAATTAAACATATTTACTTTTGAGATACAGCTTTAATGCTGGAACTTTGTTATGCAGGTACACAAGATATATATGCAATATTCCATTTAAAAGTAAGATAAATTTGTGTGTGGCATAATGGAATCATTTAAACAAACCATTAAACTACATGGTGACACCATAATTCATTATTTTACACACAATCTTGTGGAAAGAATGTGAGGGTGTGGACTGGATTCATCTGGCTCAGGATAGGGTTTAGTGGTGAGATGTTGTAAACATGGAAATCAACTTTAAATTCCATGAAATTTCTTGACTGAGTGCCTGTCAGCTTCTCAAGGACTTTGTTCCATGGGGTTAGATTCTCACTTTGTTTATTCGTAATGTTAGTAATTAAAACACAGCTCATATTTCTGGCACAGTTTTGAAACTTGTTGAGAGTATTGTATTGTAATTAATTACAAATGTTGTATTTGGGGCTTTTGTTTTGTATAAGGGTTTTGTGTTATGGACAATTCAATAATTTGTAAAAAAAATTGTTTTGAACTCATTTATGTTCATTAGGTTAAATACTCATAAATCAAATAATATTTTAACCAATGTTTTCCTTTTGAAGACAGCATCTTTTGTTATATTTGTGTTCTGGTAAATTTTGTTCTAAATAAAGGACACTGTGGGTATGTGTGTATGTTGCATGTATGAACAGACTACTCCATTTCTTTTTCTGTTTTCTTTCATAGGACATCAACACTGCCATTCAGAGTCCAAGTAAGGAAGATGGCAGTTGTGTGGACACACCTATTAAAGAAACTAATACAGCACAAGTTGCTCTAACATATGGCCTGGACACAAGCTTATACACCCCCAGCAACTCTGAGAGTGCTCCAATGTCCAGGTCAAATGAAGCCCTCAATGCCTGGCTGTCACCCAACACAATGGGAAAGGCTGACTGGTTGCAAGAGGCAGCATGTGGAACAATTCACTTCACTGCCACATATATCCAGAAGAACAAAAAGTGAGTTAAACTTAACCTTCATCATGTTTCATAATATTTCTAGTTTAGTAAGCCTTGTGGCAGACACTAGAAATGATTAAAATTTTGAAGTAAAAATTATTCTATAATTGTAAAATGCATTTTAGTTGAAGAATGAAGGATATTATTTATCATCTTAATTGGTATTTAGTACCATGTGTTTGATTAGTTTTTGAAAGATTTGTGATTTGGCCCTAGAAACAAATACTGGTATATATTAATTAAGAATGCCATGATGAAATCTGTGACTTCATACATAAAACCGTATAACTCATGTTGCACATATTCAGAGAAAAAGACACAAATGTGTTGATCTCCAGAAACATCAATTGTACACATGGTTAACATTTTGTGAGGTTAATTTACTCAGCAAGTATACCTACACATTTATGTTAAATATGTGGACAGAAATCCAACTTTGGTCCACCCTATTAAGTTTTCCTGAAGTTTGAATCATTTTTCACAGTGCTCAAACATGTTCACATTTTCTTATCTTCTTCTAAGATGTTTCCTGTGCTAACTTATCTAGTTAATTCTCTTAGCTTGGAATAATTTCTTTATCCATGGTGTTTTTACCAGGTTGTATTAATTAGCCTTCTGAAATGTGCACTGCTGATTTGTCTCTATAATTGCAAAATTTCCATCTGAATTGAAGAAACTTGCATTTCACATCTACATAATATTGTACACCATGTGCCATATAATGCCAGTGTTTTGGGTTTTTTTTAACCCCCCTCGTCCCAGAATGAGACACAATATTTTTTAATATAATCATTTAGGTTCCTCAAAAGCAGGGAATATCTTGCCCAGATGAATTAACTATCAGCTTCTTGAGGGATGTCTGAAGTATGATCAACCTAGAGCAACAAATATTTGCAGGAATAACTTCGTTCTGTTCTCTTGATAGATGCTGTTGGTTACAGGTTGCTTGTATGTGTAAACAAGGTGGAACACCTTCCTCCAAAAGGTGAAGATTACACATACAGTGTTGTTGTCAAGTTGTCAGTCTTGCCATTAAATAAGCCTGTTCGCATGAGCAGGATACATAAAAATAATTTGAATCCTGAAATTGAAGAGGACTTTGAATTCACTGTTAAGCAACCGGTCGGAAAAGTTTTGCGACTTTCAGTGCATGATGCAGATCATCAAGGAAAATATGATGCAATTGGACATTCTCTGTTCTACTTGGAAGATGTGATGGCAGGGCGACCCAGAAGATATGCAATGAGGCTATATAAACAATCACAGGTATGTAACTGTCAACTTAATGGTCATCTGAAGAACATTCACAGTGAAGTGTCTACTAAACATACCACTATGAACCTTCTATCATTTCATTTCCAGTCTTTCCATCCAGTATTAGATAATATATGATAATATTCTGTGCCTATTTCACTGTTACATAACATGCTTATATCATGAGTAAGGATATGTAGCATCCTTATAATTGCTGTTCACATTAACTTTAATATGAACGTGGTTACAAAACCGTCAGAAACACCAATTTCTCCTTCAAAACACACAGACAGTATTTGTCAGAGTTTCATAGTTCTGATAAAATTGTTGCAGCCAGATGTGGATCCAGGCAACATACGGGTGAGCTTGAGCTACAAGAGAGAGACAATGATATTGACAGTGTTGGTAATGGAGGCTTGCAATCTGCTGCTATCCACAGGTGCTGACAAGACTAATAGGCTTACAGGTAGCTTTTTAAATTAATTTTTATTAACAGTAAGTAGTAGATGACAACCTTGAATATAGACTGTCATATTGGTGTTTTAAATCAAGAGCATCTGATGCATGATAGGAAAGTTTTGCAATAAAAATGAAGCAGTATTGAAATATGTAGTCTCCAAATTAATATTGTAACACCACAATAATAATCTTCCATTTTTGTAATTGAAACTGAGCCAGTGTGTTTTTCAGCAAGAAATTGTTTGCATGCAGTTTATTACATGAAACTGGTATCCTCCGATTATGACCTGCTTTAGGGGACATTGTTTCATTAGAATGGTCACAGATTACCAGAATTTCAGAAATCAGGGTGTTCAATTCTATAAACCATTCTGATAATTTTTACATTTTTGTTGCAGATAAATACAACACTTACGTCAAAGTTGTGTATGTTTCATGTGGTCAAAAGATGAAATCAAGAAGGAGTGCTGTAGTTTCCAACAACAGGAATCCTAATTACAGAGAGACATTTACTTTCAAATTGTCATTGAACTTCCTTCATGACTGTTTTATTATAGTGAGTGTAATGATGAAAGGGCTACTGAAGAAAGATGTACCAATTGGTCGCCTTGTACTTGGACCATTCCAGTACACAGAGGGTCAGGAGAAAACCCCTTGGGGTAGAGCTATTCTCTTGCAGGAGGAAGTCACTCATTGGTTTAGAATGCATCTGTGATAGAAACCAATTTTTGGATGTGGGAATCTGAAATTTATATGAACCAAAATATATAGTTTCATAAAGTAGAATTGTGTGATTCTTGTATGACAGTACTATTTACACAGTTTTGTGATTATCTGTATATCTTTGTTATGTGCATAACAGTTATACAAGAAGAATAAATTCATGTGTTTATATTGTTCATTGATTTGTAAGAACTTGTATGTTAGGAAACAATATAAACAGGAATGGGTTGAGATTGGATTTTAATTTCTGCCATTTTAGAGGCTGAATCTGAGGATGTGGTCTTTATGTTCTGTATTGTCTACATTCTTTTTCTCTGTTCCACTTCTAATATCCTTCATATTCCTTTCCAGTTCTTTTGATTTATAAATGTGTTTTTCTAATTTCTGTCATCCCTCCCAACATTTTTGTTTATTTACAAGTATTTTCTTTTATCTAGAAACACATTTTGTATCAAGGTGTGTTTTGACTTCATTTATTACCTATTCCATTTGAAACCTGCATTACTGTACTAACCCTTTGTTTCATGAAAGTGTTCCATTCATTTCCATTTCTACTTGTTAATTAAACTTCATGAAATTTTGGATAATTTCCCTTTTTTTTCTGACCATGATATTCCTGATGTATTCCTTTTAGGTCTATTTATAAATGTTTGGAGTAACAGTAAGAATATAATTAGAGTTAATCTAAAGTATGGAGTAAAATTCAAACAATGTCAGGTTTTCTAGACAGCAGACATCCGAAAACTGTAAAATAAAAAGCCCTTTGAAGAAACATTTTTTTAATAAATACTTTGAAAGTTAGCTTTCAAAAAACAGCAGTACACTGCTTATAAATTAAGACTGATCAGTATAATGTACGTAGGACAAAACATGAAAGCACAGTGTTGATGTGTCTCATGAATTTCACAACATTACAGTATCTTGCAATGAGCCGGGATAGCTCAGTCAGTATAGTGACTAGCTACGGGCTGGACGACCGGGGTTCGATCCCCGACGGGGACAGAGGATTTTTCCTCTAGCCTCTGCGTCCAGACCGGCTCTGCGGCCCACCCAGCCTCCTCTACAATGGGTACTGGGGTCCTTTCCCGGGGGTAAAGCCGGCCGGGGCGTGATGCTGACCACTCACCCCCATCTAGTGCCGGGGTCAAGGAGGAGAGGAGCTATCCCTCCACTCATGGTGTATAGTGGGACAAACTTTACTTTTACTTTTACAATATCTTGCAAGTTCTCTTTTAGGCAGGAAATGTTCACAGATTAAGCCCCATAATAGGTACTGGATGATGCATTTCTCTTAATAATAAGAAATATCAGGCTTGTCAATGAAAATGTGATTCCGTAACCGACCTAGACTACTCTCAGTGATGTATCTGCAATCCTTAATGAGCAGTGATTGTAAGTTATGACAGCATTCTCCAACCATCCTGGAATGTAAACAGATTTTTAAGTTGCAGTTGATATTTAGTTTAAAATTATACACTGTTTAGTTTAATGTCTTACACATTAAGAAGATCTGACTTTACCTCACTCCATCATCCTTGATCCGCCAGCATCCACTTACATTAAGATGTTCTAAATATTGAGAATAGTAAGCAATTGCAAACATTGTTTCATCAGTGACTGAATAAATATTGGAGATACACAGCACACGCAGCCTGACAAAAGAAGAAACTGGTATTATTAACAAGAATCAATAAAACTGTAAACCTAAGACACAAAAATAAGTATAAAGCAATTGAGGGCTAAAAGCATGATTTGTAGTAACAACCTATTAATGGGTTACAAAAGTTACTTTATGAAATTGAGAATATTAAATAAAGAGGAACTTAATAGCTTGTATAGCTGACATGAGCATGTAGCTTGTATTTGGAGAACAATGCATGCAGAATTTGGTTGGGGATGCATCTTGAAAAGAAGTTATGTGGAAGACTAAGGAGATGGGAGTATTACATTAAGCTGTAGGGTTTTCATGGTGGTGAGTCCAAAGATGGCTGTCTTCTGGGTTGCAGAAAACAGCCATCTACATCTGGATAGATCTGAGGAACATGGGTTATAAGGATGTGATAGAGGTGCATACATCTTGCTCAGGACCATGTGCAGTGGCAAGTTTGGTATTGTTGAACCTTTGGATTTCATGCCAGGCATTTACTTAGGTGAGATTCTTATGGTAGCAAGTATGAGCTAAGGATGGTACTATAGTATCGTTTCTTGAAAGGAATTCCGTATTGTCGAAGACAGCCACAAAAACTGCCATTTAACCTTTTGGCCAAGTATGGGCCATGACAAAGATGATAAATCTGAGACAGTCATAGATATTAGGAAGTTAGACTTATTGCCTTCTGAATGTCTGAAGAAATGTAATTAGACTTTCATCGCCCAGATCCCAACATGATGTGAGATCTACTTCTTCCAAGTTGTTCTGATGGAATGTTAGAGCTGTAATACTGTCAACAGTTACCCAATGACAGTTTTTCAATGTCAGACTTCTCAAGTCCTGTGAAGTAACAGATAAAAACACAAATGAGTCTAGAAATAATAATTTCTCTTTAGTAATTGTCATTCATAACAGTTACATCTCTCAGCCTAACACTAATTTCATTGAGAAATGGGCTTTTGACTGTGTTGTACAGATAAAGATATTTTCAGTTTTATAATCCAGTCTGATAACTTGTTGATAGTCCATATAAAAGAACTCACTTTGCAAGAGACAATGAGAGGCTGTAGACATGCGCTAGTCAACCCAAGACACCCACTTAAGTTAACATAACTTAGGTGCTTACTGTTGTAGAGCAAAGGTTTAAGAAGTTTATCATCAAGCCAATTGCAATAGGTAAGGTTTAGGTGTCGAACACTGAAACAGTTCTCAATCAATACCTGAAAAGTGAACAGGATGTTGTGCAAAGTTAATACAAAATTTGAGCACGTTTTCTGAAATAATTATGCAACAGTTTTATCTTTGTAAACAGTAAATATCCCGTTTTCGTTTCAACTTACTTTAAAAGCAGGACCATTGAATTTTTTAAATACAGCTATGTCTACTTTCTTTATGATTGTGAAGTAACTATCTACAAATTCTTTACACTGTTTAGAAGTAGATCGCAAATTGAAACAATCCTTAAGCGTAAGGAACGGTAAAACGTGTTGGAACAAAATATCGTCCCAAGATAACTGCAAAAATGTGACTTCCACAGTTTCTGACGTCATTTATAACTCCAATCACAGAATATTATTTTTTGATTTCATTTGTTCCAGTCATATATGATGACTCGTCTCCTTCACAACATAAATTGCAGGTATACATAAATTTATAGCCTTCACCATTCACTAATTACGAATTTTCAGTCTGACAACTTTCTCATTTTGTGTTATATCAACCAACTTTTAAGAGTGGATGTTATTTGTTCAGACTACAACGAAATATGTTTGGTGCAAGCGAAGGAAAAAGGCATGCTGACATGATTAATTTTATCCCCTTAGGGTCTAATCCCGAGCTTGCATTTCTCAGAACGGTAAATAACTACAAATTCGAATAATATTGGCAAGAATGGGAGGTCAAACAAATGTGCTGTGCCTACTACAATGCTATCTGTTGGGTAATATATTGAATTATTCATTCGATATTAGACGCTTGACAATGCGAGATGGAATCTTCGTGGGTGGTCCGGGTAGAAAATGTGGGTGGTCTAGCACGTAGGGTACATGCTTTGTTCGGAGCTGCCTGGTTTAGAGCACCGTATGAGGAAAAACGCTGTCTGTCATGGCAACTCACGTTTGAATTCAAATATTTTGTGCCACATTCGCGATCTATTGTGCTGTTAAATAAAAGCCCAATATTATTAAGGTAGGAGTTCATAATACACTTCTTTCATAAAAGTTTCAAATGAGTACCATAAGATTTGCATGTAGGTAACTAATCGCAAATGCATCAGTTCTTCCGATTGTCCTCTTCTTTACAGTTTCGTCGGGCAATGCAAGAACGTTTGGCATCAACAACGGTTTATATTGTAGTGTTCACTACAGTACCGATTTTTGTTGTCGGAGAGAGCAGAGGAAACAATGCGACGTTCATAGGAAGGTCTGCAAACTTTAGTAATGCAAATTCCTGGTATGAAGGGGAACATGCGTTCCTTCGGGACAGATTTTCTCCAGGTGATACTATTTTATCACCACCGGATGGAAAAGGACCATACTGTAAACACCCTGCGAAATGTGAACATCTTAATTACAGCACGTGTATGGGTGTTAAACTGCCCTATGTTTCCACTACACTTGATTTAGTCGGGGATTCAAGTACACAGGAACAAATACAGGTTCGTTCTCCACTTATTATTTTCCTTTACCGTTTTTATGCAGACGAAACCTTTAAATGGGCCAAGATTGCTACCTCCCTTATGCCTTTCAAACCCTTCATAATTATTTACTTCACATAATGTATACATTAGTATCAGTAAATAAACAAAGAAAATATTTTCATGATTAGAAAAAAAGGGTCATGAATCTTGATTTCATTTTCTTATATGCCAAGGAGAATTAAATGTGTTCTGTAGTCTGCATCACTTTTCATACCGTCTTAGCATTTAAATTTCATATCTGTACTAAACACTACTGATTGTTCATCATTTTCTCCATTACTTAATGTTTGCCTACAAAATAATATTCTTATGTCCATGTGTAAAAGTAATTTTGGTTCTTTTTAAATAGCATTTTATTGCTTAAATAACCATAATGCATTTTATACTTTCAAATGTATTAAATTGTGTTACATTACCATGCAGGCATATAGGTATGCCACGCTTCTGACAATTGTTTCTGAAATATGTATGTATGTATATCTTTGCAAGCATCTCAACTTCATTGGCTTTCACTTCACAGTTCTTGAAATTACCATTTTGACTGCTTTGTTGCGGTCCTCCAGTTACCATACTGAATATTATGAACTCATCTTTTAGCTGAAAGCACAAGAAGCTGTGTGTAGTGTATATGTTGACAATTAAGCCACTTGAACTTTTAAAATTTATATGCAATTATTGTATTTCAGGAAAAGTTGCAGCAATGGCAGGGGTTACGTCACATTCCGAAATGCTGGG